TGAATCAAAAATTCAAAATTAACCGGCTTGCCAAATCATCGCATGGGACTGGATTTGTCTGACCACTGACCTTGACGCCCTTCTTTCCCATCTCATCTCATCTCATCTCACCTCCCTCACTTCGGCATCACACATCGTGATAGCACCTTTAGCACCCTTTGTCTTCCCGGATTGTCTTCCCGGAAAGACCGACTCCAATCATCGAGTCTATGACTTCTGACTGGGTGCAGGTACAGTGCCAATAGGATCGAACTATCGGCCAGATCAAATTCTCATCCCCCACGCAACTCCCACCGCAAATTCATGTGACGTGCACCGACTCGCGAAGGAAGTCCCTTATTCGGGTTCCTGGCTGACGGCAGCGTTTCATCGTGAAGAGTCAAAGGGCTTGCTGTCTCCGGTGGATCTCGGGAATAGAGTTGTAGGCTTTGTTTGTGGGCTGGTCGTGCGGACGCCATTGGGTGGGATAAATGGGGGGGACGAGAGATTGGAGGAGACTAGTGCAAGCCAATGAAGCTGTCATGTTCCTTGTGGGGAGTTTGTTGGAACATTCTAATCAGGGCTGGTTCGCCTTTTTGGCTAAAGGTCCAGGTTACCTGAGGGTGGTGGTACTGACTAGTAGTACGGGGTTAGGTAGTTGAGGGTAAAGTATACTCCGTATGTACACTACGAGTCTACGTCTGTGTGGTCGGAGGTCGGTTGGATGGCGAATATGGATTTCTTTGTCTAAAAACTAGATGGTGTTGGTTGCGGTTGGAATATTTGACTGAAGTTAATAGATATGGTTTCTTTATACGGAGTAGATGGAGCTACCATAGGTCCCGGTATAAGGCTATCCCTTCCCCGTAACTCCACATTTCAGGTTGGAACAACAAACAAACACGGAGACATATGGACGGTACTTTTGAAGTTGAGACAGAGCGAGGTACACAGGGACAGTACCCGCGGTTTGGAATCATTCGAAATGAATATTCCACGTACGATACATTCCATACAGGTTAACCCCCCCAGGGGAAACAACGCCAGATCGGTACCTGGTATAGCCCCAGCCCAGCCCAAGCCAAGGGCGACAACAATCATACCCAAAACATATCAGATGGCATGGCTCCCCTCACCGCAGTCGTGTGATGAAGGTGGGAGGGGGGCGATCATCAACGGGCGAAGTAGCGGTATAGATCGCAAGCAAAGCGGAAATGAGGTCGAAAAGAGCAGAAAGGGAAAAGGAGCCCAACGAGACAAACGCCGCGGCGCATCGTTTGGCGTCACGAGCAACGAAGAGATTTCGCCGTCGACACCAGCCACGTCAATAGACCATGTGACGGATCGGCTCCGTAGGCGGCAATGAGGCTTACCGGCAGCTTTCTTTCCTTTCCTTTTCTTTCTTTTCTGGGGGAAATGCGGGCCTTTCCCCATCACCTGCAAACGGACATCGACGGAGAGAGTCTAGAATGGGCATTTGCTTCTCTCTGCCCTTCTCTTTCTTTTCTTTTTCTCTGGTGATGACTGTCCCACTCGGCCCAGATGAAAAAGAAACGCCGGGTCATCTGAACGATGGAAATTTTCTCCCTTCAGGGGTGTTTGATTGACGGATTATCTCTGGGGCTGGAAGTCGGTCCATTGCTATTCTTATCTCCCCTTCGTCTCTCTCACTCAACTGATCGATCATTCTCTACTTCGTGGTCTCGAGGGAAACTAAATCCGCCCGTCTTGATTGCACCATCTGTCATCCTCCCCTCCCAGGAGATAGATGAATTACTGACTATCGTCCCTTTCTCTGGATGGTGATCGACTGACAGCGATACCCAAGGGACTGGTCAAAGGTCAAAGTTCCAGATGGACAACTGACTCTGACAGCGATGAGCTTCACATGTCCCCCTCTCCATGAAACCCACGAGTCCGCGGAACTGGGATTGCAGTTCCACGCGCCGCGCAACCTCGACGATGGGACCAGCCTGCGATCTGTCATTTTTGCTTTTTTCTTTTTCTTCTTTACTTTTTTCCATTCTATTTCTTTTTATTTGTCTCTGTCCGGACCTGTGATGATCCACCCCACCTGTCACGGCATCATATGTAGTATCATTTCACCGACCGACGATACTCGCCGAGACACAGCTGAAAAAACAATTCAAAAGATTGGGATCTCGTGTGACGGATGTGATGGGATGAGTCTTCCTCCCCCCTGATTCACCTCCCAACCCATTCTGTTTGAAAACAGGCATCCAATGTCCGGGGCCAAGTCAGACATACAGACGCAGTCCCATCCGGCCCGCCCCGCCGTTCGTCGTTCGTTTTCCCCGCGGGAGTCACTCATCTCATTCCTCTTTCCCTCTCTCCCTCCGTCTCTCCTGTTTATTTTCTTCTCGGGAGCTGATCCCATCCTGATTCGATCCTTCACTCGTACCTGATTGCCTCGTATTGAGTTTGCTTCCTGTTGTCATTCTCTTTCCGCCGCATTCCCGTCCAAGATGATTCATACCATGTCGGTAACTCAGTTCCCTTCCACCTCGGCATTTTTTTTTTTTGGTTTCTTTTTTATCTAGCTTCATTTTTGGTTTTCGTTTGCTCTCATCCCTGCCTGACGAAGAGACCCTCGTCTTCTACTCACGGTACCAGTCACTTGACCCGGGCCTGGACCTGACCTACTTTGACCTAGGTAATCGGATCGGAAGTATTAGGTACAAGAGCGAATATACCCCGGAGGATGCACGCCGATGGCTTGCAGTTGCAGACAGAATATCGACCCAACAAGTCCGTCCAGAGCCCAAGAGACTCCCCGGCCGGGAGTTTTGCTGACGTGGAGTATCCCCCGTGGAGTTGGTTGCTTCTGAGGAAGTGAATGGCTTAGCCTTAACATGTAGCCTCTATGTAGCATGTAGCATGTAGTACTCTACCCCGTATTTACTACCCCGTTGCTGTACATGTATGTAGTATCCGGATACCCGGGGAACTGGCATGGCAAGACATGGCATGGAATGGAGACGTCGGATGACATGACACTGTTGGCTCGCGGGGCCCGATGAGATCAGGGCCCTTCTTCGGGCTTCAACATTGCCTGTCTACCTGTCTGCCTCACCCGCTCACTGGCTGGCGGATACTTGGGCTCTGAGGTTGGTTGTTCCTCAGAGACGACTTGTCTCATCTCATCTCATCCTGTCTCAATTCTCAGCTGATGTGGGCTTTGGGTTGGGTTAGTATATGTTCTGTTTTGGGGGTTGGCTTATGGGAGACGAGATTTGTCATTTGGTCTACGAGACGTGTCTGGTTGGCAGTCTGTGGAGGGAGATGAGTGTTTGTGGAGATATTCTGGGGGCGGGATGTGGTTTGTTGGGTCTTCTGTGTGCATCTATGAGGGTGTTTCGGTATATGTCTGATGAGTAGATAGTGGTATTAGTAGACTAGAGCTGATTATTGATCATAAGTAGGCTAGGAGTATAGTAAGGATGGCGTTTTGACGGTGTTCAGTTACACCCTATGCTGTGTTCATACTTCTGACTTGGGAGGAGGCCTATGTATGTAGGGTTTTCCGCTCATTAAATGAGACTTTGGTAAACAGCAATTATGACTTACCTCCTTGAACTTCCAAAGACCTGTGATCTAATGATCGAAATAGATCAAGCAGGGGCTCTTTGAGCACTTAAATCAATGATGCGAAGTATCCCCTTTCTAAATTTGAAGATACCTCCATTCTGAACCACAAGCGCCAGATTGGCGAGAACACAGGACCACACTTCATCGTTAAGACGGAATGATATCGTATCCTGAGTATGAGTATACTAAGCCTAGAAGGTAGTGTGGTCTCTTTCGTGGCTATGTTGACTATCGTCGTGTTTGGGACAGGTTGACTCAAGGTAAGGTAAGACAATGGACATTTGATGTTCGGCATAGGTATGAACCTAGCATGGACTGGAACTTATGTTTACGTTTATGACTCCTGTTATTCCAGAATATGTTGTGAAGGGAAGCTTATGAGGAGACATAGTCCACGTTTGAGCCCAGAGAATCGGCACTGTATGATGATCAAGATGAAACGCCATCCAGGTATTTTTGGTCTAGTTATCATACACATAGATGAATACAACCCATACTGTTTATGCCTGAATCAGGAAAAGCCAGGCCATGTTTATCGAAGTCCTCTAAAGTCGTCTTAGGACAATAGTAAGGGCTTGGAACCTTGCCATATGTTTAAACAGCTAACTCATGTCTTAGCTTGTATGCTAGACGAAACGAAGAATGCTATGGATATATACACAGAGATGAAACCTTCATCTAAACCCATTGAAAAACAGATCTGATGTTGCAATCAATATAGGTTATGTGTTGTGATGTCAATTATAGATAGGAGTCACTACGCCATTGGACCTTGAAACAAGAAGTACCGGTATTGAACCGCCCCTCGTCCATCGGTTCCCATTTACATCTGACCAGAAAATATTAACACTATGAAACATGCAATGATCTAGAACCGTGATATCCGGATATGGAGGTTGAAAGCAGACGCCAGAATCATGGTACGATGACGTCGTCACCCGGCTTCCACCTACGAAGCCAGCAACGAAAACATCTTAAGAATAACCGATCCGAAATCAAACCAACCAAGCTAAGCTCGAGATCGCGATCGGGGATCTGGATCGAGATCTCCCAGGATTCATGAACATCATCAGTGCCGAAGTTCTTGTTCGGCATTTGCGTCTCCGGCTCCACAACGACGTAACGATGAACTCGTTACTATTTGTAGATCGCCACAAGGGACGCTGGCATTTCCGGTGCTGGTTGACGTAGGTGTTGTGTTCCTAGAGCTGGGTCTAGCCTCGTGGGGTGAGATTGGATTGGCCTGCTAGGTTGTCGTGCTGTGGGTTGTAGTTTGCTCAAGAAAGTGCACAGTTAGGTAGATATATCAACCTCATACCCTCGACGCTAGAACTAATCGAGCTCACTTCCTTACCAAAACAACTATCCCCTCTACTTCTGGTTTATACACTCCGCGAAAACCACGAACCAAAATGTCCAACCGATACAGCAAACAAGACCAACTCCCCGCCGAGGTAGATGACGACGACTTCGACCAGAGCCCCATGCTAGCTGACGACGCCGATTCCGAGGAACAACTCGGTATGTTTTATCCTTATGTCTATTCTTCGCATATCCTATCTAGCCTATTGAAAGCATCGACGGAAACTGACATCTGACCCAACCTGTCTAGAACGCGACGAGGACGATGCCATTGACAAGTCGAACATCATCCCCGGAGACGGTCTGCGTCATGCGAAGCCCCAGACTCAGAACCAGTACAGCGAGGGACCGGACGAGGATGATATATAACCTGCCTGTTTAGTTTGGGTTGATGTTCTGTTGATGTAAGGATTGTTAATATTTATTATTCGAGACAATTGCATGATTGGGGATTGATATTCTAGAGATATCGATAATCTAGAGGGCTTATTTGTACAATGGATTTGGTTTTAGTTGCATTGGGATTCTGCTGTACAGGCTCAATTACAGTTCTAACTGTAGATGGACAGTGTTCAGGGACTAGTCGTAGGACTTGCTCAGAGACGAGTGAAGCATGAGTTGCAACCAGAGAGAAGGCCTGGAGGCACAATGACAGCAACCAATGGTCTTTGCTAGCAGTCATTCTTGAATTTCGTTCCTTTCATTTCAACAGATTTTTTCTATGTACCCGCCATGTCTTACATAGAACTCCAACCTGATTAATCATGGCATAACTTATGTAGTATAATATTGAAGGCATTTCATTTTTGGCCGTTAAACCTGTTTACAAGAAATCTAGAAGTCCTGCTCGTCGTCGCCAGAAATGATGACGTTGTTGATCTGAATGTCGGTTAGTTCCAGTCCATCAAATTTTCATCGAAGAGTACTTGCCTTCAGAACCATGCGGCAGAGCTGAGTAGCGAGCAACAGTTGCTGTCGCTTGCTGATCAGGGGATCAATGGCGAAGTGCTCCCGCATATCTACAACTATCATTAGCAGTAATCCCTTGTTTTACCAAAATGAACGTTCACATACCGTTGTTACCGGTCAACATGCAGTCGACACCCAGTCGGGAGTTGTTCTCCTTAACCTGGCGCGACTTGATCGAGGCAAGGGTCTCGATGGGGCTCAATCCAGAGTTCTCGGCGAGGGCCATCGGTACAGCATCCAGCGCATCAGCGAAAGCGCGCATGGCGTACTGTTCGATTCCGGGGCTCTGCAAATGAAATGTCATATTAGTACGTGTCATTCCTGCATTCAAACCACATCACGTACCTTGACGGCGGCATCTTCCACAGCCAGAGCGCAAGCGATTTCGGCAGCACCACCACCATACACAACTCGGTTGTCACGAACCAAGTTGCGAACGACGCAAAGAGCATCATGCAGCGAACGCTTGGCTTCGTCGATGATCTGGTAACGGATTAATACTAGTTCATATTCACAAGAATCGATCGGTCCTCACCATCTTGTTACTTCCTCGTACGAATATCGTAACGGCACGGCTGTTGGCACAATCTTCAATGACAAGCATCTTCTCACGGGTGGTACCGAAAGTCATCTCCCGCACACTGCCGGCAGTTCCAAGCTTCTCCGAGCTTAGGTCTTCGAATCGGGGAACAATGCGACCGTTCGTTGCGATAGCGATCAGCTCGATTTCAGGGCCGCCGACCCACCGCACAGCGGGAAGCTTGTTCTGGAGCAGAAGGTGGTTGGCCTCGTCGTCGAAACCCCATTGGCAGATAACCAGGTTGGCACCCGCATCCTTCAGGTTATGAATCATCTCTGTGAACTTCTCGCTCTCGTAGTCTTGCAGCTTCTTGAATTCCTCAACGGATGTGATGTCGAGCTTGTGCTTGGTCTTCGGCTTGGGGGGCTCGAACGGACAGGTGAGAATGGCCAATTTGGCGTCGCGGACCTCGTCGGGCATCTGAGGGTGGGAGAAGTCCTTGTCGACAATAACACCCTTAACAAGCAAAGAGTCTTCGAGAGCACCTCCGACCTTTCCATCCACCTTGATCAATTCAAAATCGACATCCTTGCGATCGAGATCGGCAACCGAAAGCACTGCGTCGACGGCAATCTGGGCGAACTGGTCGTGAGACTTGGAGACACTTGTCGAAAGTTAGCATAGAGAGGGAGAGAGGCGGGTCGGTAGGAAAGGGGATGCATACATCTTGCTACCCAAGCTGGTCTTTGCAACCTGCAGCAGGTTGCTTGTGTCATCCCGGCTGAAAGGAATCGAATCACTAATCTCGTCAAGCTTCGAAACGGCAATCTCGCAGGCTTGGTCGTAGCCATCGGCGATACGGATGGGGTGGATGCCCTTGTCAATGAGATCGGAAGCCTGCTCCAACATGGCCGCGGCCAAAACGACGACACCAGTTGTTCCATCACCAATCTCTTCGTCCTGGGACTTCGAAAGCTCAACCAAGAGCTTGGCGACGTTGTTTGTGATTTCCATCTTCAAAGGTCGGTGAGTTAGCGGAGCCATTGGAACGAGGGGTTTCGAGGAGCGGCGCGACAAACCTGACCCAGGATGGTAGCGCCATCGTTGGTAACGGTGATGTCGCCATCTGCGGAGATCAAAATTTTATCGAGACCACGAGGACCCTAATCTTATTAGATGTCGGTGGTATTGATGGGCTGTTGATAAGGTCCTACCAGAGAAGATTTCACAATGTTGGCAACGGTTTTGGCGGCAACAATGTGAGACTTCACCGCATCGTTACCATGCTGTCTCTTTTTCTTTCCCTGGCTGTAGAGAACCGAGCGTATCAGCAACCGATCTCCGAACTCATCATTATAGGGTGGCCGCAACGTACTCTCGAACGACAATGAACGGCCGGCCCGATTCATCCTTCAACACGGAAGCTGTTGGCGGGTAATGTTAGCGGCGGAGCGATCTAGGATCACCGGTTATTCCGAGGAAGTGTTGTACCTTGGGACAAGTCAAGCTCTGGCGAAACGAAGATGAGATGGTCAGTATGGTGGCTCGGAATGAGGGGCATGTTGAGACATACGCATCGCCATCTTGACGGGTAGCTATGGGGGCAAAGAACCGAGTTCAGAAACCTGAAACGGTCAAGAAAGTGCAAGCGGAACAAAGAGGTGAAAGAAGCCCCCAAGAGAGTGGTTAGAAGAGTGACGTCGGGGGATCAGGGACCTGAGGCACGGCGATGTTCTTTCGCACCGGGCCTTTTTTAGAAATTCTGGAGATGTCCACAAGCGGACTAGTAAGCTGGTTTCCCCATCGGGTATAGCGTATATTGCCCACCAACGCGCTTGCCTGCGCGACTCGGCATTTCTGAAGCGCCTAAGAACTATCGTCCTCAATCACCTCCTGCCCGATTGTCCCTCTTCATCACGCCGAAGTACTAGAGTCCTCTGTCGCCATCGAAGCGAAGCCGCCACTCTGTTTTTACGTCTCTTCAATTTACCCAATCCATTTAGGACAATGCCTCGTGAGTGATGCTTTTCTGACCGTGGTCGCATAACAAGAGCCACGTCGAGCTGACCTCTACCCAGCCCCGTTGGGCGACCATTCAGATGACGAATCGACCGGCGAATCGATTCCCTTCAACGACGCCAAAGAGATCGAGCAGACTAACAACAAGGCCGAGGAAAGCGCTGGGGATGACGAGGATGACGGAGATGACGATGAGGAGGGCGTGTGAGTTTGTGATGCGACCCATCCAATCTGCAGCCCGCATTGACTCACCAACAAAAGCTACATCGTCGAGAAAATTGTCGGTCACGAATGGGCCAAGAATGTACGTTTTTTCCAATGCGCCTCGTTTTGATCAATTGCGCCTCGTTAACTTGGCTTTAGGGCTCCCTTCTCCTCACGGTGAAGTGGAAGGGGTACGATGACCCCGTGGACCAAACGATGGAGCCGGAAGAGAACCTACTGTATGACAAACTGGATGATGTCTGGTAAACTCAGGGAACTAAACCTTTCGCAACAGGGAGGGCGCCGAGGAAGTGGTGAAGGAGTATTTCAAGAGTCTGGGAGGTCGACCAACGAAGCCACAAGCGCAAGGCCGAAAGCGCAAGTCGATGACCGCAGCAAAACCAACACCCGAGAAGACAGAGCCCAAGAGGCGCAGGAAATCGCAAGCTGATGCTGCCGCCGAAGCAACCGACGACTCCGATGCGATGAAATGGGTACCGAAGTCCAAGAGTTGGGAAGCTGAGGTTGAGAACGTCGACACTATCATGCGCGACCCGGAGACCTCGAAATTGATCGCTTATCTCCAATGGAAGAATGGCAAGAAGTCTAAGGTTTCCATTGAATCTTGCTATGATAAGTGCCCGAAAAAGGTGAGCTCCACATCTTTCATATAGAGGGGGCATCGACTGACATTTAGGAAGATGCTGAAGTTCTATGAGCAACATCTGTAAGTTATTGACATTCATGAGTTTCTCTACGACAACTGCTAACAATATTCTAGGGTTTTCAAAGATGCTTAAGTCGATACCAATTCAATGCTTTATTCATTTATTTCTGTCTCTTCTTTTGATTCCTTTTCATGAAGCCCACTGTGTCAAATTGTTCTTTTTTTTTTTTCGAGGACTACCCGTTGATATAAGTCGCCCACTCTTCAGCTTTTCGATGGTGGGATGTTGCGGGTATCGAAAATCGCAGCGCATAACGGGTGTTTGCTGGAGTTAAGCGATCGAATGCGATTTTCCGATTTGTAAGATAATTTTGGGTAATGATTTTAACCCCTGAACTTTTAGGAGGGGCCCATGTGGGCTGTACATGCAAAGTCATAGGAGAGAAAATCCACAAAAAAAAAGGTGTCTGGGTTATGAATGTTTTCAGGTATCCATGCCGGTCGTGTTTATTACTTTTGGAACTATCAATATCTTAATTTTCGGAGTCACAATGTCCTTATGTTCCGCGTTTACGTTACCGGCTTTGCTATTAGGGGCCATGACGGCTATTCGCTAAGATTATGACCATCAGAGTTCTGTGATACCTTCCTCCTGACCCTTTTCCAACCCGGCAGTTCTTGCCAAGTCGAGATATTGCCAGCGCGAGTTGAAGAATTCAGAACCGTGCTTTTCTAAAACCTTTTCGATGTCTCTGGTGTCTCTCCCTTCGATGCATTTGTCATCCTCAGCTGTCCATACTCCTGGCATATCTTTTGGGATGCCCTTTCCTGCAACTAGGTGTTCTAGGACTTGGTCGGCGAGTTGGGGGTCCATGCTGGTACAGCGCAGAGCCTCGATGATTTGATCCTCGGTCTTTGCTATCCCAGTACGGAGACGGTTGTCAATCCAGGCGTCAATGTCTTGTTCCGGTTGTTCTTCGCGTTCTGAGCTCCCTGGGCTAGATGGTAGGAAAGGAAGCTCCAGGAAGGTTTCGTCAATTGGTTCCGGTTCATAGATTTCATTGACTGGGATTGGAGATTTTCGCTTTTGCTCTGGAGTGTGTTGAGGGGGTTGCTCTGGTGCGTTTTCGGGTTCTTGCTTAGATTCTGGCTCAGGTTCTCGTTCTGGCTCTGGCTCTCGTTCTCGCTCTCGAGGCTTCTTAGAACCTTTTCCCTTCACATTGTTGTGCTTGTTGGTTATATTCTTGTCAGGTGTTGGGAGTATGAACTTTGGTGGAGGCGGAGGTTCTTGCCGACTTTGCGGAGGAACCTCCGGGGTTGGGGTTTTCACCTCGCTTCCAGGGCTCCCAGTTGCCCTTCGCTTCCGAGCAGGGATATCCCCTCCATTAGAATCAGTGTCATCCGAGGCGTCGAGGGACGGGGTGCGTTTCCTTTTTCTAGATTCAGCCACCTGAGTAACTGTTCCAGGGCCTTGAGAAAGTTGCTTGGATGATGATGCAACAGCTGCAGTTGCAGCTGCAGACGCAGCTGCATTTGTGGTTTGAGTCGGAGTCTGCGCTCTTTGGTTGCTTTCTTGTGTGGCAGAAGGGACAGTAGATTGCGGCGGACCCCCCGGGCGTGGTTTTCCACGGAGCCTTTTTAAGTATCTATCGCGATAAGACTGATAAGTGTGCCTCGGATTCTGGTTTCATGGGATTATTGTAAGGACACAACGATGTAATTTGTATAATATGAGGGACGGTGCTTACCACTACGGCTAATTCCTGATAGATTCTGTTACCACGGATGGGAGCATTGGGCTCATCTTCGTATGACTGCATCCAATCCCAGAGTGCTTGGTCGTCTTGCAAAGTGTACAGGATCTTATGTCCCCTGCTGGGTATATTGGTCGCCCCAACCGGACGAGAGGCCGAAGGTCCACACCTGTAGTCTTCCAGGTTTTGTAGACGCCCTTTGCGAACGGAGTCCTCGACTAAGCGATAGGAAAACCTAATGTAGCGTAAGCATACCTCAGAACCGTGAAGGAGACATAGATCACAAACAGACGGAAATATCTTACGTGTCTGCCGAGAGATTCCGATTTCTTTTCATATGATCCACCAATTTGATCTCGGCATCCTTCTCAAAGAGTCGTATGATACCGCCATTTTGCTATACGAGAATTAGGTCTCAAAGCAAACACCCTATCATGTCATTGCACCATACCTCGATGGTTTCCTTGAATCGACTTCTCTGTGGAATATTCTGTGACAGCCAGAACTGCTTGCCCTGAAAAAGCGAGTCGGATGCTGCATTGGTATTACCCTTGACTCCCTCCACATCCGTCTCCTCCATTGTCACCAGGGGATCATTTGAGAGATAAAGTTTCACCCTTTAGGCCGTTCACCACAGCACAACGCGCGGTCACGTGTTTTGGTGTCAAAGTAGATTGATGAACCCCAGATCTCGAGCGACGGACAGATGCATACATGAGTAGCCCAAGCTACAGTTGCATCGTGTACAAATTGACTATGGACGGAAATTCGGAATGGTGCCCCTCAGGGTTGACGATGAGGCCAGAATCAACCTTCCTCCAGCACGCGTTCCGCGTAAGGGACCGGTAACTTGATGCCTTACTTCTCAGGCAACTGGAGCACGTGCAGGAACGGGTCCAGTCCACCGCGAGGCCGACGCTAACTGGTCTACTTGGCCTAACTGGCGCTAATGCTGAATGTTGCTTGCCTTGTCCATCAGCTGGAGAGCGACACAATTCTTCCGGAATAATGACAATTTCTGCTTAGTGGCTGCAGAGGACCGACATCCAGCATCAGAATGTCAATTTTATAGTGCTTCTCCAGGACCGCACGAATCTTGTTATTCCATCCAGCCACACAGGAGGCGGCATCCGACAAGCCATTTGGTTGGTTTGGGTCTAGAAAGCAACAATGGGGTCAATTAGGACCATTGCCTTGGTGATCCTGGGGATTTCTGGGTTCACTTTTGTTGCCCTGTTTGGCAAGCTTCCAGCTCTGCGGTACGAAGAAAAAAAGAGACCCGTCGAAATGGCTAAGGCTGATGCATACGCTGTGCAGGCGAACACCTATTGGTCTGCTTCACAGAATCCTATGCATACATATTCCGAATGGGATCGCTCGCCTTGATTCCCACCTGCTAGGTGGTCGAGTTGTACGCTGTTGGAGCAGTTCCGGCAACTATATACTCCATGAAAACCACCCCCTTGTTCTAGTAAGGTTTAACGCAAGACTCTCCTATTGAAACATACTGATGACGCATATAGATATTCTTCACGGCCCTCCTAATCATAGGGCAATGGGTCTTCATCCCAAGTGCGTGGTCGAGGATTTCAGCCGTCCACAAGCTTTGCGTTCCGATTGCGGCGATTTTACCCTACGTGTTCTTGTATGCTAGCGTCGTCACCAAATCCTTCATCACCCCAGAAAATCATGTCCAGGAGATGGAACGGTACCCCTACGATAAAGTCATTTTTCATCCGGGACATCATTGTGGCTCATGCCATCTGCTTAAGCCGGCAAGAAGCAAGCATTGCAAGTTCTGCAAGGCCTGTGTGGCGCGACACGACCATCATTGTGTATGGCTCACCAATTGTGTCGGCCTCAACAACTACCACTACTTTCTGTCGCTGATCTTGTCGCTTTCGGTGATGTTGATCTACGGATCATTGCTTGGTTACGCCCTTCTATGCCAGACATATGAGAAACTTCTACCGCCTGGTTCACCGTGGCGGTCACCCGGGCAAAGCTGGACAGCTTTCATTAACGTATGGACCGTGATAATCACCACGGACCTTCGAATCGGGGCCATCACTCTCTTAATGGCCATGACAGCTCCGCTGGCGGTCGCCTTCCTGGTCTACCACACGTACCTGATCTGGGCAGGCATGACGACCAATGAGAGCGCCAAATGGTCCGACTGGAAAGAGGATGTGGCGGACGGCATGGTTTTCCGGTCAAATAAGGCCGAAATCTATGGCACCTCCCCCTTGCTTGGTGAATATCAGAGTGTGCATACTTCTTGGCCCGTCAGCAGCGAGCAGGTCTTGGTTTTTACCGACGGCGAAGCACCCAGAGAGGGATGCATCTTGTCACCCGACTCCAACGACATTCGACTGCCGCAGAACTTTCAGGCTGTAGCAATTGATAGGCGATGGGAGCCTGTACGCAGTATGAAGGAAGTCGACAATATATACGACCTGGGCTTCTGGAACAATTTGCGTCATGTCTTTAACTTTCCTACCCGACGCAAAGTGTCATAGCACTTAGATTGGATTGCTTCAAATTTGATTTGAGATGGAAATGATATTGACCAGGATAATACACTGATTTGCTCCGGGAATGACGGTCAAATGTAGATCAAAATGTAGAAGTAGGGAATGCATGGCTGACATAAAGGCGGTCCCGCCTTCCCTTCGGAGCCGGAAAAAATTCGCCTCGACTTCGGTGTTTCCCCTCCGAACATCCGCAACACTTTTCGGAGGCACCCTGCGAGCAAAACTCAGGTCATATCCTATCGCAACGAGTGTCGCAAGACCCTCACCCGTGCTGTCAAAATGGCAGACCGAACTGCAACTGATGCGAAGCCGAAATGCACCCCGGCCGAGCTCATGCTGAAGGTCATTCTGACGGGGACTCTGAGCCACTATGAGACTCGCGGCATGATCGACGAAACGCGTCTGGAACATATGCTGGCGGCGGGGAAGTCGATACTGTATAAAACTCACCAAGAAAGCGATGTCAGGTATGTCAATGGTTCTCCAAATCCATCCCGTCATTTGTTGCCTAGAAGCCATCTGAGCTTTCCAATCTCTCACTTTTGCTGACCTACCCCTCATGGTAGACACAATCTGGGCCTGTCGCCGGACATTTGGCAGGGCTTTACGGACGTATTGACCAAAGCGATCCCGGTCCTCGAATCGCAATCTTTTGCTTGGAAATGCCCTCCGAACGCAAGCTTCGACCACTCGTCCTCCAACCTCATCGCCTTCAACTACTCTTCACTCGTCAAGGACATTGAGCGCCTTAATGACTTATGTACTATCGCGCGAAACCTTCTTGCGACCACGAAAAAGGCGCAAAACATGGCGGCAGAGAAGGGGTTTGATCAGAGAATTCTGGCGTTGGTAGACACTTGTGTCCGAGTGACGGCGCGGGGCTTTGATGGAGAAACCAATGCGAGGAATGAGGAGCGTTGGCAGAAAGTGGTCAATCTTTACAAACGGCTGCTGATTACCTGCCTGCAATTCCTGCATAATTTCATCATGCACAATGAGCAACGGAAGATAGTCCTCTGGTTAGATCTTTTCGGGTACCATTCGACTGGAGATTCCAATATCATCCAACCCAAAGAACCGTTTGATCCAGCCATGACTCAACCTGAGGGGGTTGCGCCGATCGTGATGTCCGGAGAGAGAATAGTCAATCCCCCGATACGGGCTCTGTATGACCAAACGGCGGAGGACCTGCTTCTCGAGACCATATCCAACTTCCCCCGGGAACCTGCGACCATCAAAGAGGAGGCGGCGATGTTGCTTCTCGCCAACATCAAGGACCACATGGAAAAGCTTCTTGGACGCGACCTGACCGCCATTAAGGAAATGGGCAAGGATCCGGAACAGGTCAAGGAGATTCGCGCCGCGCTTACTGCCATACTCGGAGCGAAGGTTGATGGATGGACCGACCTTCAAGACCGAGCGAAAGACCTTCCCCCGGCCCTGCCCGAAGATGAGCCCCCGCGCAAGAAATCCATACTCACGATCGACCGTAGCTTGACTGCAGGGTTTCCTCGCCTCTGCTGGTCCGATTTCCCGGATCTTCCGGATCTTAGCGACTACGGTGCTTTAGCATCAGGCGACGCAGCCATCATGGATGAGGACACAAGCATGCCGCGATCTGCTCAGTCTGCTGCTGAGACACTCCAAGAAGCCAAGGATGAGCTGATGGCACGTCTGCAGGAATCGTCACAGCTCGGCGACGGCGCGGATGGAGATTACGATACTGGCGATGCCGGGACGGTTGGTGATGACGACTCACGGAGCCTGGAAGCGGTGGCTGACGGGAGCATGGAGGAAGAGGAGGAAGACGACGAGGATGATGACGACGACTACCGAGGCCGTCCAGGCGACCAACAACGTGGCTTGCTGACAGACATTCCGTTGGTTCTTGGACCGGCAGAGATCGAGGCTCTTCCAATGATCATTCAAGCCGGCATTGTGGACAGCTTTGGCCTCAAGGGCGGAGAAAGGTCGGGCACAAGGAACATGCAGTCCCTTCGCTGTCACATTCTACTCACCCAGGAAACCGGTCGAAACCTCCTCCGAGAGCTGCTAATCTTCATCGCCGCATGGGACCTGCCTGACGACGAACTCTACTTCAAGATGATGGTGCAGATCATGGATGCCGTTCTACGCAACGGATTAATGTCCCATGCTTATTCCGATTTTGGCCAGCCCAAGGACATTATCTCCCCAGCGCAGGCAGTTGTCGTGAAGATCCTCACTCACATCTTCCGAGCCAAATACTCGCCTGCCTCGGTCACCGGATCCACGCAGGCCAACCCTACCAAGAGCCCGGCTCCGCTATCGAGGGTCGACATTCTGACCGTGCGCTACATCTTCACCATCTTCCGCGGTAATATCATTCCTGAGACCTGCGCGTTGATCTACCTCCAGGGCCAGATCCGGGCTGGACGGGCTCTTCCCGAGGACTTCCCTCTGAACCTGTGGGATATGGAACGCGTCTACGAAGGTGTCTACCAATTCCTCGAATTCTTCGCCGTGCTTACCGAAAACAACGACTGGAAAAACCTATTGGTCAAATGGGAGATCGTCTACGATCTGGTCACGTTGATCAAGGAGCTCGAAGCCAGCATCCCTAAGGGACAATTAAGTGCCCTGCCATTCGGACGCAGCAGCAGCCCTTCTAAGGACTCCCAGCATGGCGGTGCAGCCCCCGGACCAGTCGCGGTGGAACGGCCCTACGATCCCAGTGACCCTGATCCGGTGGACGCGGGCCCCGGATCTCGAGCAGAGTCCCCCCCTATCACCGAAGATCCATCGGAGTTCGAGTGGCGCAATCTCAAGAAGCTGGTTGTGCTCGTTCTCTCGTCGTTGGTCTGGAAGTGCCCTGAGGTGCAGGACCAGATTCGTCGACATGGTGGTGTCGAAGCCGTGCTGTCTTGCACCAACTTCGATGCGCATAACCCGTACATCAAGGAGCACGCTGTCATGTGCCTGAAGTTCTTGCTGGAGGGCAACCGCGAGAACCAGAGGCTCGTAGAGGAGCTGGAAGCGCGCGAGGTTGTGAAGGATGACGGGGGGCTGTTGGAGAAGAGCGGATTCGAGGCGGTGATTGACAAGACAGGCAAGCTGGCTATTAGACCGAAGGAGGGTCCGGCCGAGAAGAAGTGATCAGACTTGCTGGGTCGTAGTTTATCATGCCGCATATTTTTATGAAATCAATTGAATAATGTGTTGGATGTCTTTTTATTTACTATATTTTGCGTCTCCAGCTTAAATGATAGCACATGCATCACTCATGTCATCAATCATATCATCCGTTCACTATACAGTGCTTACCAATCTTTCCTACCATTATTTCCATCGGTAACAACTCCAATCCTCAATGCATACCAAGTGCTTAACCATACATTCCATCCCACTCCTCCTCATCATCATCCTCCGCGACCTTCTTCCGCGCCTCCGCCTTCTCCCGCTCCTGCTTCGCGAAATCCGTCCGGTCGAGTGGACACGTTCCCCGCAGGCGCAACCACGGCCGCACACACTCCATATCAAACAGATGCGTCGGATGGCACGGCAGTCGCACAACGAGCGGGTATTGATCCTCCAGGAAGGGATTGTTGCAGATAGGGCAGGTCTGGTCCGGCTTTAGGGATGTTCGGGGGACGCGGTCGAGTACTATACCAGGCACCCATGTCAGCAAATGCTTTCTCACTCGTGAATCCATAATAGCTAGCTATCAGGACGCCCGTAGATAGGTAGGTAGGTAGGATAAGTGGTGGGCCGGCAGGCATTCCAATCGGATAGACCGACCCAGGCGGGAAAAAAAAATAAAAACATACCATCACAGAACTCCTCACTCACACCCTCGACTTCCTTCGGTGGCATCTCCGCCTGATTCAACAACGACTGAATCATCTCCGTCAACAGGCCCCCCTCACTCCCTGCGCCAGCCTCGCCATCACCGCTCCCCGCGGGCGTCACGATCCCTGGCCCTTCGCGACGCATGACCTCGAACGCCTCGGCGAGGGAGTAGAACGCGGCGCTGACATCGTGGGGCACGGGGACTGCGTGGGGACGCGAACGGCCGGTCTCGTCGGGGCTGATCTCTGAGAGCGTCGCGAAGAAGGTGGAGAGGTCGGGGCGGCGGCGGCGCGCGGAGGTTGTAGTTGAGGGGTCGGTGGTGTTGTGTTCCACTGTTTTTTTGGTTGAGGGGGTTGTGGTTAGTTTGGTGGTTTATGAATTTATGAATGTGCGGAGGGAGGGTGGGGTGAATGAGGACGGGCTTACCTTCGTAGGTGGACATGGTGGGTGGTGGTTTTGGTGGTCGTGGGTTGGAGAGAGGAGATAGAATGGAGGTGAAGGGGGATGAGGTAGATAAGGTAGGTAGCGCGGGGTAAAAATTGGAGGTCCGCTACTCCGTAGATTAGAGTCGATTTGGTTCGGGTCTCCAGATTTGGCGATGGATTAATCTGATTGAAAGGGAATTGCAGAACAAGATGAGGTTGAAAGGGAGTAGGATTGTAGGTGGTTATAACTTAAGAGTGGGAGGATGACGAGGCAGCAGCGGAGAGACGCGTCCGTTGGTTTCTGCTCGGTTGCGTTATCAGGTCCGTCATGCATACTTCTCGTCCTTCCTCTTCCAGGTACCACGCTGCGTTCCTGAATTCTTCGAAGTTTATACAATAAAGACTTTGATTATTATTTAAAGTTGCCAATTTCCCATGCGCATTACTCATATCCCATCCGAATACAAATGCATCGCTAATGACATTATCACCGAATGGCTAGCTAATACACACAACAATACCCAAATTCTCATCAGTAATTGAAATCCTCATATGCGACTGTCTTTCCGGTAAGCCAGTCCATCACTGAGCTTTTTAGAGCAGGACTGCCGCAGAAATACCACACATCCGCCAATGACAGGTCCAGGTCCGCAGCATGCATTCTGTGCCGCTCAACTTGCGCTTCCGTCCCCTTGATTGCTTCCAGATGAGGGATTACATCTTCATCATGTGGATCTGGTCCCGTCAGGAAAAGCCTCGTGGACTGAGGCAGTTGAGGAAATCGCTGGAATGTATCCACGACTAGTCCGATATCATCGATGTGCATGGACCAGAAGAGACGCAGGCGACTGATATCAATACCCGGAAGCTGCGCAATGACGGGCGTGATCCCGATTCCGCCAGCGATAAAAGGAAGAAGGTCCTGTCCGCCTTGTGAGCTGATCACGAAATCACCGCCAAACCCCTTCAACGGAACTTCCAGTCCAGCTCGTTCGTTGGTTTGGAAGAGATGGCGGGTGACGTTTCCGTGCCTGCGAGCTGTGATCTCGAATTCATCGGGCGGAAGGTCTTTGCCAGGATAAGACGATATCGTGAATGTTCTGATATAGTCGTCGTTCAGACTGGACGGGTCGTCGTCTTGCATGTGATGATATCTCATGTCCAGCTCTTCCTGGAAGGAAAATGTTGCGTATTGGCCCGGCGTCCACGATCCCATTTGTATAGGATCTGATATACGGAAGCGAAATCGGCCAATCCTAGGGTTTATGATCTCTTTCCGCACCAAGGTTGCTGTGATGGATAGGCCATCGTCGATAATGGCCGGGGTAGTCTTCTCGGTTGCCAGGTACCGCACACTTGGGTTGTATGGAGATAAGGCCCCTGCGATACCTCGGAACGCGAGGGTTCTCTCCACAAATCGGGCAGCGGTGACGGTTACCCTCACGGCGAGATTGGATCTGGGCAGCACGGCGGCCGCATTCTTGCCGACCAGGATCTCTACTCTTCCGGTAGCAAACAGCGCATTCCCAGTTTCGAAATCTGGAAAGACGAATCCTGCGAGCGGAGACACCTGGAGGTTACCCAGGGTCTGATATAATCGATTGCCTGAATACTCAGGGTAAACAAAAACGGCTCCACTTTGCTCGTTGGACACCACACGCACAAAAACCGGGGGGCCCTCCGCGAATGTTCGTATCCATTTCGACTGTCCCATTACAGGAAGAGATGAAGAACGTGTCGGCTCGACCAAGAAAGCGAATGGCATCTGGCGGTAGCTGAGGAGAATCGGAAACCAATCTTGGATCCGGCAAAGCAGGAACGATATGCCTTGTATTGATATATTTGGGGCAGTTTCCTGCGTTTGTAAGCATATGAAGGTTGCTTCATTATACCGATGGGCTGGTACTAACCTAAACTCGCGTCAATCTGAACTGTCATGTTCGCGATTCCTGTATGTTCTTCAGCGGCGTTATCCTCGTCTACTGAGACCAAAGACCCGGAAACCCGCCTGCCGTGGAGCTTTCCCCGACGGCGAGTTTCTAAGTCAATTACTAGGCCTGAGAGTAGCCTTTCGGTGGACTGGTCTTTTGGTGAATCCTGCAACAGCACATCTACTAGAGGATCGTATTTGCTATCAATCGGGGTGTTGATCTGGACGGAACCCTGGGTCGTGGGTGTCGCGAAGCCTACTTCGCCGCCCCAGATGGTTGACCAGGGTCTTCTCTCGCGATCCACTGCACCGATGGCCATCAATGGAAAGGTCTGGAGATACATACTTATCCTGGGGGTTAGGAAGGGGTTTGTAGGATTATCTTGTGGGGGGACATGGAGTAAGCTATGCATCTTCTTCTCGCCATCGTGCCAGGCGATAGGACCCGTTATGATAGACGGCATGGCGGATATGATGTGTCGAGGTGTTATGTCAAAGGGAGCTAGTCTATTGCATTTCAGAGTCCAGGAAGCATCTCCAGGAGTATTTGATTCTTCAGGAAATCGAGGTCGGTGTCAGATGGCATCATCTCTTTAGACCATTAGTCAAGGCCAGACACGAGGCAATGCGGCGGGGTGATTTGTCAGAGTTCCAGACTGCAGATTGGTCAGCAGGGCTGAACTCTGTGACTACTGAAAGAACGTTGTGAAGAGGGTAGTGGTGTAGATGAAGCGCAAGTGGGAGTTATTTTCATGCTGTCTTGGATAGCAGTCGGGGATGGCGTCATTGACGGGAGTTATATGTTTCGAATAAATACTGCGTACCACTTGCCACCATTTGTGTTGAATATAGATACTTCCGTGGTTGAGTGAGCTTCATTACTAGGTATAGACCTAATAGGTTTTGGGGTTATTCTTGTATAGATTCAATTGAACATCGTCTGCAGATGCATTCAGAATGGGGAGGCCCAGGAGACCCTGGCGAGGATCGATACCTCAGGCCGCAGCAATATCCGTAGGGCGGGACTTGCCCCAGGCACCCACGTCAGGCAGCCAACCCCGATTGGGTTGACGCAGCACGTGCCAGAGCGACTATCACGGGACCCGGAAAATGGCCTGACAATGCAGGCAACGTGTTTGAAGTGTTTGGATTGATTTCTCCTTTTTTTCTAGAAGAGGCAAGGATGTTGTTGCGACCTTGCAAGTTGCAACAAATCCCCCGAGCACAATCTGGTTTCCCCGACGCCTGCGCCTTGTTGTCGGTCGTCGTCATCGTATTTGAGTATCCACTAGTTTGACTGGCTTCTTTCTTTAGCAACACCCGCAGTGGAGTCGAGATCGGCCGAAGGAGGCGCTGCACTGCGCACGATTTCACCCACGGCTGACCGTTGCTCTCGCTTTCCATTCCTTTGCGCATCCTGTCTCTTCTCTTCTTCGTCCTCTTTTGTTGTCTGCTCTTATTTTGTTTTTCCTTTTTGCCCCTCTCCCTTTTCTTACGCCCCCAGTCGAAGGAAACGCCCTGGATTAACATCTGACACCTGACAGCGCGGCGTTTCAGCGCAGATCTCCATTTGTTTACCTCGCATCGCTTTTTCTCCACTTACGCCGACTGGAGATAATTCCATCATTCCAACGCCAGCATCATGCGAGCCAAATCTGTGAAGCCGTCGGCGTATCCAGCGCTGCCATTCCATTTCATTCGGGGTCTCAACCTGCTCTCTGCACTCCTCGTCGCTATCATTCTGGCCGTCTTTATCTCCAATCTGTCCAAGAATAACTATAAGCTCCCGTGGGCCTTTTTAGTGGTAAGGCTGCCATTTCACAACCTCCCTATAGGGCGACCGTATAGCAGCGAACAATCAAGCTAACTTGACATCTCTCGCCCTCATAGCTCCTCATCTCGTCTGTCCTATCACTGCTCAACTTTGTCCTCACCACCATCACCCACTGCTGCTATGGCCTCTCTCCACTACTTTCCGCCACCACCAACTCTATCCTCTTCTTCCTATGGCTCATATCCCTCGGCCTCATCAGCTACAGCATGTCGCACACCATCATGACCACCTGCAACGCCACATACTGGGGCACCTCGACGGGCATCAACGTCTGCCGGATCTACAAGGCCCTGTACGCCTTCACCATCGTCGGCACGGTCACCCACCTCGCCGGCATCGCGCTCGACGTCATCGTCCGCAGACGCCAGACCCGTCTCGGCGCCTATGACCCTATGGCCTCTAGCACCGCCCTGAACGACTATAAGCTGCACAACCGCAACAGTAGCATTATGTCCGGCGGCATGGGTCCCTATGGCCCCTACAACAACACCCACCACCCCGACGACGACCGCCACCCGGCCTTCCGTCACCAGCACCAGCCCTCCGACGACTTCTACAACATCCCCGACCCCATGGTCTCCGGGGCTGCGGGTAACCAGCAGCGCGTTCCGCCGCCCGTGTACGGCGCCAATTCCTCCCTCGAGCAGTACCATGCCGGCGACGCGCAGGATTATGCGGAGACGGCCCCCGCCCTGAGCCAGCGACGGGCTCCGCGTGTGCGCTTCAGTGCGTATGACGGATATGGTCACCCCCCGGAGCAGACGACGGGATATGATCCTGCTGCTTATCGGTAGATGATCCTGTAGCGTGCTTTGCTTGTCCTTACTAGGGTATGCTTGTTGGCTTGATTGTACCAGAAGGAACTGTAATCTACTGGGTGGTTTATGTGATGAGAGATCAGCTGGCTGGTTGGCTACCTACTTCACCTTCCTTAACCATTCAATCGGTCATGATTTCTCCGCCGTTTCGATATGACGTGTTACGAACATTGACATCGCAAAAAAAGGGCCTCAGAGCCTCTCATGTATTTGGACACTAATTTTCGTTTTCTTTGCAGATGGCGTCATTCGGGCGTATATGTTTTTCCATTTTTCTTTTCTATCCTCTTTAGGTCCAGCGAGGGTCGTTGTATTCTTCTATTTGCTCCTGTTTGGACTCAATTGCATTGGAGACTCTAGATAGTGTCAATATACTATTATGTGAATGAATACCTTTATTTTTGCACATTCGTGGTGATCGGTCTAACATTATCCAACTTTCTAGATGACTAGCAAAATCGGTTGCGACCGGGAATTAGTTTGTTTAGAACATTTCATAAGCGGGGACGTAATCGTAAGTTCGATAGAAATAACAGCTAATGATGCTTAACCGTAGGATTATGAAGGTAAGGTATAAGAAGGATAGGTAGGTACTAGGAGTAGAAAGGAGTAAAAAGGAGTATTAGATTCCACACAGGGAAATGAACACGGGTGAGATGATATAATATGTATGCAACCAAAAACAACAGACATTTATTCCAAGATTCTTCTACATGATAACCTCGTTGGCGACGTCCTGAATAGATAGCGCTGTTAGTTTTTATCGCAATCAAAGATGGAAAGGGGGATAAAGAGAGAGACGTTACCCGTTTGAGTTCCTTATACGGCAGGCAGACACAGTTCTGGACGCGCACTTCGTCGCCGACACCACACTCCTTGCCGAGAATGGTGATGCTCTGCACCTTGATTCCGTGCTTCACGATGCTGGTCGAGTGGCTTCCATTGGGGATCGGCGTGCCCTCGACACGTGCCCAGGCGCCCACTCGGCTGCTCCACCCGATGATGGAGTGCATCACGCAGGCGTCGTGCTTGATCTCGGCGTCCTCTAGCACGATGGAGTCCTTGACACGGGCGCCCGCGCCGACAACCACACGCGGTCCAATGGAGACGTTAGGGCCCAACTTGGCGGTGGGGTCGACGCTGGCGGAGGGGTGGATGTACACGGGCGGCACGATGGTGGCGGAGGGAGGGGTGAGTTCATCGGACTGCGCCTGGAAGGCCTTCTGCAGGTAGAGGGCGTTGGCGGGCACGGCAGAGCCGGCGGTCTTGATCTGGCGCCAGAAGTCCTTGGTCTCGTGAACGAAGAAGCGGTTGCTGTCAGCCAGGTCGGACAGGATGTCCTGCTCCAGACGCAGGACCTCGCTCTTCTCTTCGTCCTCGGCGGCAATGAAGGACGACTCTAGGTTTTCGGAGGAGGGGTAGGAGACGAGACGGGGGCGGGTGGTACGACGCTTGATGGCACTGCGGATGGAGGGGAAGATGCATTCGGTCGCGAACAGGTACACGCCGCAGTTGATGAGATTAGAAATGTGCGACTCAGGCTTCTCGACGTAGTGCAGCACCCGCTTGGTGTGTGAGTCGGAGACAATGCAACCGAAGTTGGTGGCGGCGTCGTTGTTCACGCGGGTTCCCAGAATCACGGCCTCGGCGTCCTTCTCCTCGAACAGTTTCAGCATCTCGTCCAGCGGGAAGGAGCAGCAGACGTCGGCGTTCAGCACGAAGATGCGCTCGGGCTTGCCCTTCAGGATGGCATCGCGGAAGTGGTAGAGACCGCCGGCAGTACCCAGCGAGGTGTATTCGCGCAGGTACTGAATGCGGAACTGCGGGAATTCCTTGGCGGAGTCTTTGATGAAGTCGCGGAAGACCGACTCGTCGTAGTAGCCGACCAGGATCACTTCACGGATATCGGGTATCTTCGCAAGGGCCTTGAGGCCATGGTGGATGATGGGATGTCCGGCGACTTCGAACAAAGGCTAGAATCACACGGGAGCCGTCGGTGGTCAGTGTGATTGCTGGGCGAAGATCATGGGCAGAATGGCGGGGCAGTGGAGGAAGAGGGACAGCGACTCACCTTGGGCACATCGAGAGAGAGGGGCCTAAAACGAGTTCCTCTGGAGGGACCTCCGACCTAGATTGAAGCTTTCTGTCAGGAACAGGCCACATTCGGGCGCCAGGGACAGTCAGGGACACACCCACCAGGATAATTGCCTTGGTGGAGGCCACGTTGGTGTGTTCCCGTACTGGAACTTGAAGCATCGAGACGAATGGAAGGAATTGGAGGGATTAGAGATAGGGATGTGGGTGTCTACAGGTATTGCACAAAAGAAGACAGAGAGAAAGGGAATAGAAAGCGCCCAGCAAGAAGAAAGGAGAGGAGAGAGAGAGAGGGAGAAAGACAAGCAAGCAGCGCATCTCCACCAGAAGGCGGTTTAGCGTCATTTCCGGTCAGGAGTTCCTTAGCCTTGGGGGCTTTCCATGGTTCACCGCTTGCTCCACTGGGACGATCTTCTATAGAAGAAATAACATAAATAAAAAAATACTATGAGTTTGAAATTGGAAGAAATCAAAGTCCAATCTATCAGAAGTGACAGGTAGACTCTTGCAAGGATGAAGAATCCTCGTTTGTTCCTCTGTGCCGGCAGTCTGTCATCGCCTCACCCATTTGACTGCAAGTCTATACAACTTCTTGTGATCTTGTCTTCTCCCGAAATGTACCACATCGACCTTTTGTACTTCAGGACTGCCCTTTTCTTCGCCATGGCTGTAGAAGAAGGCTATAAATATCCCCTGGATTTCGCTCACCCTTCCATTCACTTCGACATCCTTTCCTACCTGCGTTCATTTCATTCACTTTCCAACGGAGACTTCCTCTTGCTTGACTTTCTCTCTCTTCTACCAAGATCTCTCTCCTCTTCTCTCTCTACTTCTATCTTCCTACCCCTTATCTCTGTTCCATCTCTCTTCCTACCCCTCTCCCTCTCACACTCCACTCTTCATCCACTTTCTATCTCTGTCATCTCCTGACGCCATCCTCTATCTCTCGTCTACTATCCCGTACCAGTCCCTTTATTCCCACCTCATCATGTCTCACCCCATCTCAAGCTTCTCTTCTCCTTCCTCCAGAGCCATGCCACTGCGTACGCAGACTCCAGAGTCGAAAGTCGCCATCAGCGAGTTGATCAATACTAGTATGTAACAGACTTTCTATCACTTGATGGCTCTTCTCTGACTAGCTCTAGACGGCGATCAAGGCACACCTTCCCCTACCATGTCTGGTCATAGCAATGATGCTATCAATCTTATTAGCCAGGACATGAAGTCTCTGGTTAAAAAGATTCAAGACCTTCGTCATATTGGAATCGAAGACAACAAGATTGCGCTGCCCAAGATTTGTGTCATAGGTGATCAGAGCACCGGCAAGAGTTCTCTTATCGAGGGAATGTCTGAGATCAAGGTCCCTAGGAGTGCCGGCACCTGCACCCGTTGCCCCATGGAAATCAATCTCTCTGAAAGTAATCGTGGCCAGCCTTGGATCTGCCGTGTGTTTCTCTCACGAAAGTACATGTTTGATGGCTCCCACAAGCTTACAAGGGTACCCAAGAAAACCCAGCCCCTTGGCCCTTGGGTTGACCAGGACCAGGAGGATGAGCTCTTCATCACACTGTCTGATAAGGATGACGTGCAAGAGGCCATCAAGTGGGCCCAGATTGCCATCCTCAATCCTGGTCATGCTTCAAGTGACTACATCCCCGGTAGGAATGCAGATGCGACCATGGACTGTCAGGTGAAATTCTCTCCGAACGTGGTGCGGCTTGACATTTCTGCTCCTAATTTCCCCAACCTTTCGTTCTACGATCTCCCCGGCGTAATCAGTCAAGCCGAATTTGCTGATGAGCGTTACTTGGTCGCTCTGGTCGAAAACCTTGTGAAGCAGTACATCTCCCAGGAGAACTGCATAGTCCTGCAGACATTGCCCATGACCGATGATGCCACAAATTCCAGCGCAGGACGAATCATGAGGGATGTGCGTGGAGCTACGGAGAGAACCTTGGGTGTCTTGACAAAGCCCGACCGAGTTCAGACCTGTGAATCCTACAATCAATGGATAGAGATTCTGGAGGGGGACAAATTCTCGCTGGGACATGGATACTTTGTCGTTCAAAACAACCCCGATCCCTCGGTGGGACATGCCCAAGCCCGTGAGGAAGAGGCCGCCTTTTTCTCATCAAGCCCGTGGTCCACAGAGCTTGCGCCATACAGAGATAGATTTGGAACCCGAACCCTCCAAACCGCGCTGTCGTCGCTCCTTCTCCAGCAGATCCAGGGATGTCTGCCTGAAATCATCGGTCAAATAAATGCGAAAGCAGAACGCATCGACGCCGAGCTCAAGATGCTTCCCGACCCTCCCAGCAACAACGTGCAGTATATTTTGTGCCGGAATATCAACCAGTTCAAAGAATTGATCACCGCACATCTTGATGGAGGCTCGTCAGAGTATCCTCTTCAAAAGCTGTGGGGCCACATGGCTTTAGACTTTCAGCGGGCCCTCATCAAGACCCGACCAACCGTTGCAGTGCGATCCAAGTCTGATGAGCAGGCGCTCTCGCCCCCAGTCGCGCGTGACGGGGATTCCGATTGCGAGATGACCGCAACAGTGCAAACCGGTATGAAACGAAAGGCTTCTCCTAGCGACCCTAGTCCCCGCGACAGAAAGAGCGTAGAGCGCCCCTCAGACTATCATTACCCTGAGTTTGAGAGGTTTGAAAAGCCTTCACGGGTATTCAGTTGGGAGCAAATTCGCGACATCAACGAGGAGTCCTACCGTGCCGGGATTCCCGACCAGGCGGACCCAAAGGCCATTGAAATCATGAGACAGCTCAGCGTCGAGCATTGGAGAGACCCCATGAATACGTTTATCCAAGTCACTCATAACCTTGTCAAAGAAATGATTACGGCGCAGCTGGACAAGGTCTTTCATCAATATTTCCAGACTGGTCTGTACAAGGAGCTCAGACATATCATTGACGGCTTTCTAAAAGGGCTCAAGGAGGAGCACGAGCGCCATGCAGAGGAAAACTACAATATCGAGTACAACAAACCCTTCACCATGGCGACATTGACGCTGGACAGAGCCATCAAAAGTGCGTTTCTAGAGCTCAGTCAGCGTCGCTGGATATGTCGCACTGGTATTTATCTGAGGCAACGGAATATCGATCGCGATCATCCGCGGCGAGAGTCAGAAAGAAAAAAGCTGTCCCCTGCGGACCTCGGGCCGGATATGTTTGAGCAGGAGTTGAAGATGATGGCGGTATGTTTTGTCCACGTACGTTGGGAAGACAACGGGCTGACCGATTGGTTCTAGTCCACTAGGGGATATTACGACATCGCCAGCTCTCGATTCCTCGACTTCACCTGCCAAAGCGTCCATACCAAGTTGTTTTCCAAGTGTAGGGAGGAGCTAATTCCCACCATCGAGGAGAGGCTGGGTATTCAGGACGACAATGGTAAGTCAGCAAGGCCCGCTTCCTGCCATGGTGTGCTAACTGGCAATCTTTTCTAGCGATGGAGCGTTGCATGGAGCTCATGGCCGAACACCCTGATCGCCAGCGCCGTCGCAGTCATCTACTCAAAGAACGGACAAAGATTACTCGGGCACAGCAGTCGCTTGAGACTGCCAGAAGAGAGGAGCACTGTGATGAGTATGCCAGCCGTGTCAAGACGGAGCCTGCCAACGAATGGATGAATCGTGATTCGTTTTTTAAGGTGTGATGGATGAGTATGTCGAGGACTTTGTGTGTTCCATTGGAAGATTGAAGCTGTCGCGAGATTGACGGAGTGAAGACTGGAGGAGTGAAGACCGGCGGGGTAGAGAAACCCCACATCGCTGCCCTGAGCCCTAAGCCCTATCCTTCCCCAAGACGGTCATGATATTACCTACTGGGAATGATTCTGCTACGAGTCCAGGTATTGGCATTGCAGGGATGAGTTTGATAGAAAGAAATGATAGGATAATGTCTCCTGGATACTCCCTGTAACCCTTCGCCCTTTCTTTCCCACCCCCGTAGCATTCAGTCGTACCAAGTCGTGAGTCATGGCGTGAAAGGCGGGCCAATGTGACTCCCGCCCAAAATTCTTGGGCTTTATTTCTGCCCCTCCGCCTTCTCCCACCAAATCTCTCCTCCTCTTCCCCTCCATCTTCCCACCTGATATCATCAACCATGACGGAACCCAACGCTGTCAAGGAAGCCGAGGCCTCCATGGCCAACCTTCTCCTCGACGAAGTCACCGGCGAGAAGGTCTCCAAGACCGAGCTCAAGCGCCGTCAGAAGCAGCGCGAGAAGGACGCTAAGAAGAAGGAGAAGGAAGCTTCCGCTCCCCCCAAGGCCGAGAAGAAGGCTTCTGCTGAGGAAGAGGAGGCCAACCTGACCCCCAACGTATGTTCTTCAAACTCCGTCGTTTTCTCTTCTCGCTTATCCTCCGCTTTCTGCCCCTGCGGATGCTAATGATTGATCGCTGTCTAGCAATACTTTGAAATCCGCAGCAAGCGCGTTAACAAGCTGCGCGAGAGCAAGCAACCCGACCCCTACCCCCACAAGTTCCACGTCAAGGACGATCTGCGCCAGTTCCTCAAGGACTACGAGGGTCTGGCCAAGGGTGAACAGAAGCCCGATGTCCCCGTCAGCATTGCCGGTCGTATCTACACCAAGCGTGCCTCGGGTACCAAGTTGATCTTCTACGATATCCGTGCCGAGGGTGTGAAGGTGCAGGTTGTCTGCCAGGCCCAGCACACCACCGGTGATGTTTCCTTCGAGGACCAGCACGAGAACCTGCGCCGAGGTGACATTGTCGGTATCACCGGTTTCCCCGGTCGCAGTGCCCCCAAGAACCGCCCCGATGGAGAGCTTTCCATCTTCGCCCGGGAGGTTGTGCTCCTGGCCCCCTGCCTGCACGCCATCCCCTCCGAGCATTTCGGTCTCCAGGACAAGGAGCAGCGTTTCCGCCAGCGCTACCTGGATCTGATCATGAACGACCGATCCCGCAGCGTCTTCGTCACCCGCTCCAAGATCGTCAGCTACATCCGCAACTACTTCGACACCCGTGATTTCATTGAGGTCGAAACCCCCATGATGAACGCCATCGCCGGTGGTGCCACCGCCAAGCCCTTCGTCACGCACCACAACGAGCACGACATGAACTTGTTCATGCGTGTGGCCCCCGAGCTGTACCTCAAGATGCTCATCGTCGGCGGTCTGGAGCGTGTGTACGAGATGGGACGTCAGTTCCGTAACGAGGGCATTGACCTGACCCACAACCCCGAATTCACGACCTGCGAGATGTACTGGGCCTACGCCGATGTTTACGACGTCATGAACCTGACGGAAGAGCTGGTCTCTGGTCTCGTGAAGCACGTTACCGGTGGCTACGAGACGACGTTCCACACGCAGACCGGCGAGGAGTACCACGTCAACTGGAAGGCCCCCTGGCGCCGCGTGGAGATGATCCCCGCCCTCGAGGAGGCCACCGGCGAGAAGTTCCCGCCCGGTGACCAGCTGCACACCGCCGAGTCCGGTGAGTTCCTGAAGCGCGTCCTCAAGAAGACCGGCGTCGAGTGCTCGCCGCCCATGACCAACTCCCGTATGCTTGACAAGCTGGTGGGTGAGTTCATCGAGGAGACCTGCGTTAACCCCACCTTCATCACCGGCCACCCCCAGATGATGTCGCCCTTGGCCAAGTACCACCGCCAGCACGCCGGTCTCTGCGAGCGTTTCGAGGCCTTCGTCTGCAAGAAGGAGATTGTCAACGCCTACACCGAGTTGAACGACCCCTTCGACCAGCGTCTGCGATTCGAGGAGCAGGCCCGCCAGAAGGACCAGGGTGACGACGAGGCCCAGATCATCGACGAGAACTTCTGTACCAGTTTGGAATACGGCCTGCCCCCTACCGGTGGTTGGGGTATGGGTATTGACCGTCTGGTCATGTTCCTGACGGACAACTACAGCATCAAGGAAGTTCTTGCTTTCCCCTTCATGAAGGAGGACAAGACGGCGCAGGACACCAAGAGCGCTGCTGAGGTGGCTGGCGTTGAGCCCCAGCCTGAGGAGGGAATTCGTAAGTTATCATCGAACTTTTCTGGTCACTCATGACCGAGCAGCAGCTAACCTCTCTTCCACAGCCCACAAATAAACTAGCTTTATGAATCAATGCGGCATTGCAAATGGGATGATCGTATCTGGCTGATGAATTTTGGTTCTGCATGATTAAAATTTTACCAATGAAGGGATGCACTACGAACGAAAAAGAGTATAATTATGAAGAGACGGTTTTATCGTGTAGTATGTGCACTGGTTGATGTTCCTACAGCAAGATAAGAAAAGAAATCAGAGTAGACATTCAATTCAGGATAGAATTGGAAGCGTAAGATAGCACTGCTTGTCTTGATACTACGGCTTGGTTTTGATACCATCTACCCTCTATCAACTTCTGATAGATAGCTGAACAGCTGCTGTCTTTGTATGATTTTTTTTTTTTTTTTTTCATACTACAAGGCAATAGAAACACAAACCAAAGGGATCAACTAGGTTGTCTTTGTTTTATGTACCATTCTATAGTCATGTTCTCTACCCTACCGGAACTTTCCTTGTGCAAGAGAACAAAAGAGACAGTGTGCACATGTCTTAGAAATGTAATATCGTTGTTGATATCAATGTTCTTTGTGTTCTTGCACCACCAGCTTAGTGTGCCTGCTTGATAACGAATGACCTTTCAACATTGCTAGACAAGTCCTAAGAATATGAATCATTGCCAAAGAAAAGAGACATCCCGATAAATGAAATGAAAGACCAACCCCACGAACGCATAGCTCAACAATCGAACAACCTTCGCTACCTAGGTCACTCTGCCGCGGGCTTACTAGCACTGGTACATACTTGCGAAGCAGAACACCCCATACTCTGATGCGACCCTACACAACATACCTCACAGGGAGGGACAGGTCTCTCTTCTGACTCCAAATGGCTGGAACCCTCCGGCTTAAGCTTGACGAAACAATCCCATATTGCTATTCACCTTTCTAAGCTGTGAGATTCACGGTAATGTCATGTTCTCTGCATGAGGGCTTTATTGACGGCGTAAAGGAGCGAGATCTCTTCTTCGTCACATTTTCGGTCCTTGTTCTCTTCCTCCTCCTCCTCCTCTTCTTCTTGATCCTGACCACGTCGTTCGTCTTGTGGTGATCTACTTCTTCTTTCCTTCCTTCTCTTTACTGTTGCGTCTCGATATCCTTGTCTTTAATTGCATGACGTTGTTCCTATCGCTTCCCTTGCTGTGTTTGGCTTTAGCATCCAAGAAAGACAACCTGCGACGGCTGCCTCTTGTTGAGTGAGGCGTGGTTCTGATATATCCCTGTCCTATCGAAACAAGCGAAAGAGTCGTCCATTCAAGCTGACACGACTGTGTCGCCCTCCCCTACATCTCTCTCATTTTCATGCCTGGTGTTTCTTCCGTTTGTGCGGAATACCAACAAGGGATCATCTCGATAAGATGACTCCCAAGAACGACCATACCAAATCCCCTCAGGAGAAGCTGTCGACTGATGAAGCTTTCAGAAGACCCAGATATGTGCCTTCTCCTCGTATGACGGATCCGTTCTCCAGAGAGAGGAGCCTGCACCAAGCCGTGCCTGCTCTGACAACTAGCTTGGTAAGTATCATCTGCTCATATACCCATGCGATAGATGCAGGTTTTATCTCTTCTTGTCATCATTCCAGAGCTAAGCAAACCAGCAGGAGCGGGCCAGAACCAACATCCATACATTTCCGTTCAGGCGCGTGCCCACCAGAGATGAATTACCAGTCGTCATGGAACCACCAACCACGGTGTCGCCATTCAGTCGCGAACGCACTCCAGCCTATAGCCATTCCTCTCGCGAGACCATGTCCTCTTTGTCACCTCGCACCCCTCCCGCTGTTAGTGCCTTTGGTGGCCACGAACCCAGCAGTGGCCGAGGTGGTGGACCGCCTCCGTACTGGCAACATCTCGGTGAGCCCACCATGTTTTGCACTCCTATCCGCGAGATGAGCAGCAGCCGCACCGGATCGGGCCATCGTTCCACGGTGCCTCTGCCCTCCGTTCGAGACCTCTTCAGCCCCGATGCGTCCGAGAACGAGAGAAACGTCCTCCCTCCGATTTATATGAGCCCTAGCGTCTACTGTCATATGAGAGATGCTGACCCTGCGTCTGCCGTGGAATCCGATGTAGGCCCTCGTTTTGATTCTCGGTCTGAGTCCCCGTCCCCTGATTCAGGCAGAAGCCGTGGTCGTGAGGCTACGACCCGTCCTGAGTCTGCGCGTGAGAAATCCCCAGAAGAGTTCGTGGTCCCTGCAACTCCAGGCCCATCGCGTGCAGCTCGCGCGTCTCAGAATACTCTGGACCCATTGAAGCCGCAGGTACAGGTTCCTGGCCCGTCGGCTGAGGTGACCAAATTCATCGACGTCGATGCGCACACAGCAAAGTGCGATGTCTGCAACAAACGTAATGTCCAGGGGATGACTCGGTGCGTCGAATGTGGATGGCAGACGTGCAATGCGTGCACCGTCAAGAACAACAACTTCCGCAGCCATGGTGCCGGCGCCGTGCTGCATGTCGGTCCTGTCGACAAGAAGGAACTGCCAACTGCCGCGAGCGTCAGGAAGGGAAAGCAAGCGGCGAAAAGAAAGCGTGAGGACCCGGACTATGTCCCCGAATCGGAAAAAGCAAGCAAGAAGAAACGCGCGACTAAGTCTCAGGTTCGAATGACCGGCAATACCTCCAACCCCTCCTCCTCCATATCTTCCCCCGATGGAAGTCCTAACGAATCGGCTTTTGCAGATCTAGGTGAAGATGAATCCATCAGGAACGCAGCGCAGGCTTTATATGCGATGAGTATGGAGGCGTCTGAGATGGAGACATGGGATTTGACAAGAAAGTTCCGCAAGCGCTGGCAGTACCCATTGTGGGTCGAAGACAACGACGATGGGGATGATGAAACGGAGCTGATGAGCATGGATGAGGAGAATTTGAACGACGCTGGGCCAGGCAGCCCCAGCCCCCTGGCTAGATGCATACCAACACTGCGTCGTGAAGTTCTTGAGATCGCGCGGGGGGAGGGCGAATGTTACCGTCGCAGTCAGATAATGGGACAAGCAAAGGCGTCTGCTATGGATTTGGAGGAGGAAAAAGGCAAGGTTGAAAGTGCAAAGGGCTTGGAGAGGGTCAAGAGCAGAGCTCAGACTTACGCGCGCAAACGATCCGGTCGTTGAGCGCGTGACCTCACATTTTCTTATTGATTTTGCCCCCATGACTTCGTTGAGCTGTTCTTGTTTTTTTCTTCGCCTTCGAGATTTTTCTTCTTCTGCTGTGACTCCCCTTTCTGTTGATCCCATTCCTGTTTATTCATCAGCGTATTTGTGTTTCCTGTTGCTCATTTCGAAGATTCCCTAATCCAAGCCCGATAATCTTTTCTTGACTGGAGGTTACTTTTCTGTTTCATGTTCATTCTCAGTTGATTCCCCAAATGCGTGTTTTTTTCTTCACTTCATACCCATCCTGTCGCGTTGGCTTTGTCCTTGTTTTGTACATAGCGGATTGACGAAAACTCACTCTCACTGAGGCTTTCCCTTCATCGTCGACTGTCCGCGGTCGGTACATTTTTCGGTGACCAACCTGATCATGCTTCCTCTGTACTCCCAGCTTGTCGATGAGATCGGTAGACGTACACAATCAAGGTCGAGTCAATCCATTTCTTGTAGAATTCCTATGAAGGCAATCAGTAGCACGGAGTAAACACTACCGGGTTGATGTCAGCAAGGGACCAAAACACGGGCACAATAAATATGAATAACGAAGAATAGTCCATAAAACATAGCTCCATGAGCAATACATGTCGATATATTGTACAATATAGAAGTAGAGATTCTCATAACATACACCGGTCTTTCCAGTCACCAAGATCATAGCACGGCGACGGAACAGACCCAACACCATATTTTACTATTAAAGATCACCAAGCCCTCTTATACCCGACGAGGTCCATGGGCAGCCGCATTCGACAGAGCCTGGCCACGGGCCTTGGCCGCCATTTGCAGCAGCTTAGCCGTCCGCGAAGGACGCCAGATGCGGCTTCCCAGGACAAGAACCCAGGTAAGGAGGAACAAGCTACCAGCTTGGTGGGCCGAAGCGAGAGGCGTAGGGACGAGGTAGAGCAGGGTCGAGATGCCCAGGCCAACTTGCATGAAAGCGAAAGCGACGACGCCGTGGACGCCCTTCCTGGCAGCGGGAGGGAGAAGGCGCTTCATGGCGGGCGTCTTGGAGTAGGCCCACAGACCCATGATGCTGGAGAAGGTGGTCATGGCGAGAATCCGGTGGTCCAGCTGCACGAGGGAGGGGTTCTCGAGCATGTTCCGCCACCAGAGGTCGGATTTATCCTCGAGACGCGAGTACCGCTGGTCGAAGAGTTCCGATTTGGGAGGAGCCAGGCCATTGCCCATGAAGGGGAATTCGTTGTAGATCAGACCGGCGTCGAGACCAGCGACCAGGGCACCGGAGATGACCGTCGTGAAGACGAGAAGGGCCAGTCCGGCAACCGAGCGACGGAAGACCTTCAGTTTCGGGTCACGGAGCGAGTCGAGCAGCTTGGTACCGGCCTCGGGGTCCGCGAGAAGACGATGAGACCGCAGGATGGCAAGACCGTTCCATAGCATAGCGACGTAGCAAACGAAGGCAGCGCCCAGGTGCGCCGTCAGACGGTACTGGCTCACACGGGGGTGACTGCCGGGTGCGAAGAGGTCATCCTTCAATCCCGATTTAACCATCCACCATCCGAGGAACCCTTGGAATCCGATCAAGCCGGCAATTCCAGCCAGACGCAACGCGATGGGCTTGCTGACCTTTTTCCGAGCGACGAAGTAAACGGCGGGGAGCACAAACGATAGACCGACGAACCGGCCCCACAGGCGATGAATCCATTCCATGTAGTAGATCGATTTGAATTCGGAGAGGGTCATATTCGGGTTCAAGAGCTGGAATTCGGGGGAGTCGCGGTACTTTGCAAATTCCGATTCCCAGTCGTCTGCGTTCATGGGGGGGAGGGATCCGGTGACGGGGCGCCATTCTGTGATACTCAAGCTGTTATCGATCGCAAGTTAGTTCACGGTAGGTCAATTGTCGCGGAGAGGTCAAACGTACCCTGATTCCGTTAATCTCGTCAATCCACCAAACACTACGATACCAAAGACACTGGCCGCGCTTCCAAGCAGCCAGTAAGCCACCGACTTGTGGCTCACATCGGGAAATCTGGACCCAGACTTCGGAGTTCCGGTCTCAATCGCGCTCGCAGCCGCAGACCCGGAGGCGGATCTCTTCCAGGTCGAGGGGAAAGCCTTCTTCGCCCTAGCATATGCAGCGGCGGAGTTCACGTTGTTGGTGTTCGGGGTGAAGGAGAAAGCTCCGAACTGCCTGCGAAAGGCGGCGGGTTTGGCGGCATAACTCGGACTTTGTGTTAGACATTGACGACAGGTGAAGAACTCCCTCGAAAGCCGGGGAGCAAAGCTCCGGAAGAAGGGCACGGAGCCGCCCAGAGAGGCCATGATGCCGGCCGACACGCGAGGTGAATGAATGTCTCTGTGGGAGAAATGCGGAGGAGCAGGAAAGGGAAAGGAGGAGGAATTCGTGATTGCATGAGCGGTTCGGAAGTCCGAGACCTCCGAGGCGGAGCCAATGAGGGTGACCTGATTTGATGCCTGCAGCGACGGTTGAGACGAAGCAATTGCCTTCTCGTCGGTCGAGACGAGTGGAGGAACGGATCCGCAACGTGCTCAGTCTCCTCTCGCGTCAGTCACGGGCCTTCCACGTGCTGGCAGGGTCTCAATTCCCCTCCGAGAGCGCATCGGGAGACTGCCTGAGGCAGCTCGGAGTACAAAAGGACAGTTTCCTATCTGGGCCTAGCGCCATCCGCGGAGATCCTCAGGCAATAAAGGCGATCACCAGCGCAACCCGGCCTCAGGCCTCACCAGTCACAACACTTCCACTCGACCCCTCCGCTCCCTGCCCCCGCGGTAACCATGTCCTATGCCGTGGAGACCAAGAAGCGCAAATTCCACCGAGTGCTGGAGTCATTGACGAAACCCTCGAACCCCGAACCTCCGTCTAAACCGGCCCCCCAAACACCACGCCGGGAATCCACCACCTCCGCGGACCTGTCAGCAAAGAAAGCTCGGTTGACCGGCCAGAATGGAACCGATCTCGCATCGGTACGGAAAACGATCTTAAAGGTGGACCGACCGGGCTCTCGAGATTCGAACTCCCCTCGACCGACCTTTGTGCCCTGGGATCGCGAGCGGTTCCTCGAGCGGCTGGCGACGTTTCGGCGCGTGGACCGCTGGTCCCCGAAACCGCTGGCGATCAGTGAGGTGGAGTGGGCGAAACGCGGTTGGATCTGCTCCGATGTGTCCAGAGTGGCCTGCGTTGGAGGATGCGGCGGTTCGGTCGTTGTCAAGCTGCCGGACGAGCTGGACGAGTTGGATGGATATGATGGTGAAAAAGTGGAAGAGAGGAGGGAAGTTCGTAAGTCACAGCTTACTTCACTGGCCCTGGATATCCAGATGAGCGAGACTAATCAGATTAAAGGTGACCGACTCGTCAAAGAGTACGTTGAGCTCGTCGTTAACGGACATGGCGAAACCTGCCCGTGGCGGAACAAGGGTTGCGATGGTTCGTTCTCATTCAACGAATGCACTTATAACCCGCCTGCTAACCAAAGAATAGCCACCATCCATCGACTGCCCTTAGCAAACCCCGACACCGCCATATCTGCCCTTCGCACGCGTTACTCACACCTCAGCAAAATGGCCACGCAGCTACCGGAATACGAGGTCCTGCAGACCCCGGAATCATACAAACTGGAGGACATCAGCAAGACGCTACCAACAGCAGGATTCAACGACTCCGAAACGAACACAGAGACCCCAGAACCACAGACTCCCAGCCCAGCCGACAAAGAAACCCCAGCCGCCGAAAGTCCCAAAAAGACCGAAGACGCGACCCAGCAGGAACCGACCATCAACCGCACGGCGTTCGTCCTGGCCTCGTTCGGCTGGGATAGCGTTTCCGACGGAGCAGCCGGACTGGCCGAATGCAGCGCATGCTTCCGACGCCTGGGACTGTGGATGTACAAACCCAAACAGAACGGCGACAGCGCGATCTACGACGCCCTGGACGCGGCCAACGAACACATGGAATACTGTCCCTGGATCAACGGGACAGCGCAAAGCGGTACCGGCAAGGCCTCGCAGAAACCCGACGAGTTGCACAGCGGGTGGCAACTCTTGGTGCAGGCGCTGAAGGTGAAGCATCGTCGTCGGGTTCGCTCCACTGCTTCTGTGGCTAGCTTTGCGGTCTCTGAATCGCCGTCGACGGATGATCCTGTGGTGGATGACGCCAATGTCGAAGCTAAGAAGGCGTCGGATCGCGAATGGTGGACTAAACTTCGGAAAATGAGGCAGGTGCTTAATGTCAAGTCGCCGAAGAGGAAGTCAACTGCGGAATGAATGATCAGGTGGATGCGTTTGCTTTTGGACTTGGTTTTAATGATGACAGCGAGGCGTTCAGGGCATTGTCTTGCGTGTTCTTTTCTCGTTCTCATATAAAGGACTTCTTTTCACCCACATTTACATATAATGATAGAAACTTTACACATGTCATACCGCACATCTTCTTTCCTTAAGGTACTAACCGCTGGCAGTGAGTGAATTCGAGAGGGTGGAAGAAAATGCGAACGAAATTGAGGTTACATATAGTCGTTTGATCCCATTAAGCACCTTTCCTAAACCTAACCCTGACTACCCCATACTCAATTAGAACCCAAGAAAAACTCCCCAACATTGAGCTACTCCCCCTTTTGCAGGGATCCTAGAAGTCGACCGACAGGCAGTCTACCCTCTAGCCCCCGGAAAATCCAGAAAAATGCCAACAGAAGCACAAACAAAAGAAACCACTGGACCTGAGACCAACCCCCTCGCCGACTACTGTACTTCTCCCATCCCGGTCCCGACCTCTTCGGTACGGGAAGGAATTCGATCACGTTCGCATCCGCCATGACCTTCGAAGTCATATCCGCCAGAAAATCTTTCATGTATGGAATGTAATACCGACCGACGAGGGAATTGAGAAAACCGTCACGTCCATGAACTCGTACAACATGCCATGACACGTTGTAGACACTCTTCACCCGATCATACCGCCTCTCTTTGTACTTTTGAAGGGTGCGCTTGAGGTCAAGGTCCGACGGCCCGCCGGGTGATGTGGAATGAACGAGCTGTTGGAGAAGGGAGGCTAGGCATGCGGCATCCTCGATAGCCATGTTTGCTCCTTGTCCGGCATTGATTGTCATCTATATCGGAAGGATTGGAATTAGCTAAGTATAAGGAGACATTTTAGGGTGCCTCAATGTACGGCATATGCTAATCAAAACGGCTAGTCACCTTATGAATACTGTCACCGATCAGCACCATTCGATCATAGTGCCATGTTTCAAAGAAGGCTTCTTCAAGAAAGGTCATTGAAAAAGCCTCTCGGTTTTGCCAGACATCTCGAACACAAACGCCGTTCCGGATGGGCACGGCCCCAATCCGGCTGCAGAATTGCGCTGCATCGTCGCTTGAAAACCGGGCCATATCTGCATAAGGGTATTTTCGGTCAAGCTTCTTGATAAAGAACCAGAACAATCGACCGTTCTTGCCGTGGATTGTCGCAATGGTGAGTCCGTCAAAGAAGGCGTTGACTTGCTCCCCAGCGTCAAGGCCAGGAACGGGGGACGACATGCCGAAAAGACATACAAACTCCGCGGTCATACCTAAAACTATTAACCAACAGTGATTCATGGTGTTTGAGGCATAAGAAGTGGACATACTTGACTTCTCTTTTGCTGTTACCTGTCCAGGATCTTGCGATGCTAGCTTCCAAATCTCCGAGCGGACTCGACTGTGGACTCCATCGGCGCCCACAATCAAATCTCCCCTGTAGACTGACCCGTCGTCTGTTAGCACGCAAGAGCCATTCTTCAGATGGCGGATCTCAGTGACCCTTTTGCCGGTAAGTATTCTAGAACTATCGGGGTATGTCTTGTACAGAATCTCAAGCAGCTTTTGACGAGAGAGAAAAGAGATGGGGTAACCGAATCTGTGTTTTGGAAACGGTCAACACTTGAAGCAGGCCAGTCCAAACAACCCTGATTATTAGGCAGATTGTAACACACCTTCTTGTTAATTCATGAGGATAGCTGGTATTGTAGTAGAAGCCATCGGGATACGTCGCATGAACAAGTCCCACAGGCTCAATCAAATTTTCTACATCTTCATAGATTCCGAGTTGCTGAAGGATCCGCGCTCCGTTGGGAAAGATGGCGACAGACGCTCCTAATTGTGGAGCAATGTCTTGCCCCTTTTCGAGCACAATGTGGTCAATATTGGCCCGCTGTAAACAATGTGCCAAAGTCAACCCTGCAATTGACCCGCCGACAATAATAACTTGAAACTTGGGTTGATTCATGGCTCAGATGCTTGGGAAGACTGATATAGGTTGTATGGAGCCTGCGTCCTAATTTAGTGAAATCATCATGCCAGCCAAAGCCGACAGGCCACCCAGTGCTACATTTGAGCAATTGGGCCCGGGCGAGCGTCCCATGTACTACCCCTCTACAGGGGAATTAAACTGGCGCCATGAGTGATGTATTACCCATGTACCACATTAGCGCTAAAGATGGGTCCAGTTGATTGCGTGCAACGCGGAAAACCGCGTTCAAGTCCGAAAGAATTTCTCCGATGGAGATAAGTAGCGCTCGGGCTAATGGTGATGGCAGCCAACAGATGTTGCATGAGTTCGACAAGACGGTCGAATGAGAGGTTCAACCTGGCCAAGCTAGCTCAAAGCGAGCTTGAAAGACGGTGGATCCACTACGCCAGTGAGCAGGGGTTGGGAGATGACAATGTATGCAATAAGCACGGCGGATGTATGTGGTTAAGATACCGAACTGGTGGTCAATAGTACTTAGACGAGGACCAATTGAAACATTGTAGCCAAGCACCGTGACAGCCCTAGTCGCCGAAATGGCCAGAACCCCACTAGAGATGGGGCTTGCCCTAGGAGACGGTTGGCATTCGCTCCCAAGTTGCGCGGATCTTCGTGAGCCGAACATAGACCAGGCTTGGCTATACTCGTAAGAGTGTTGCCGTAGCCGCTGATGGCCTGTCGGACAGCCTAACTCCTGGAGTCAGTGTAAACGGGACGGCATTTGCCTTCTTCTCGAATTGTTGAGTGAGGCCTTGATATTAGACTGATTCTGTTTGGTCCAGCGTCTCATCAGCTAAATTGCCAGATATTTATAACTGTATCGCTTTAATTGCAGGGGAGGGAGTGGTATACACTGGATGCCCTATACTCACCATCATTTCTTTTAACCACCAAGGCTTTGACAACAACTGTCCCACATCAAACATCTGAGTGTGCTGATCCAGAGTCCGGTAGGCCTCCACGGTGATACCAACTCCACTGGATAAATCCACAGAAGTCTCCAAAATAGAGAATGCTGGTAGTAAAGACACCGTTCTAGACCCATTCTGTCGTCTCATATCTATCCCCTTTCTCACCCCTAATCAATGGCTGTGACATGTCTGTGCAAGTTCCAAGACAGCAACAGACCGCGAGTCCAGTTTCAGAAGATGAGCAAGGACGTATATTTCAAACAGTGTAACTTCCACAGGGTGTCACTAAGCAGTGATCCGCAAAGCAGAGGATTCTTTCTGCTTTGATGCGCATCGTCGGGTTACGGGTAGGTATATATTGAGTAAACCGCCGTCATGAACGGGGGTATTCTCTCACCACCCCCATACCATTCCGGTGACATAGGCAAGATGGAGTCTCACAATGCAACGCCTGTGCCTCTCCCTTGGCTGGCCGCCATCGGGATGGTTCCCTTGTTCTTCCTCGTTCTCGTCGACAGATTACCTCCGCTCTGGCCAACATCCAAGATGGCCTCGATGATCGGACAGAAACAGCCAGAGAATGTCACCGCGATTGAATGTCCGTATAGTTATATTCGGCAGATTTATGGCAAACACCACTGGGCCCCGTTCGTGAATAAAATTTCGCCGTGCCTGAAGAAAGACGACCCGGAAAAATATCGAATGGTGCTGGAAATCATGGATGCAATCCACTTGTGCTTGATGCTGGTCGACGATGTGAGACTCTTCCCTTTGACAGCTCTGAACCCCCTGCCCCTATTCTCCTTTCGCCTAGGCCTCTAAGTACGTATCGTGGCCAATGACCCTAACAATTTGAACAGATTTCGGACAATAGTGACTACCGAAAAGGCAAGCCGGCAGCCCACAAGATCTATGGCCCCTCCGAGACTGCGAATCGTGCCTATTACCGCGTGACCCAGATCCTGAACCAAACAGTCCAGAGGTTTCCGAGGTTGGCGCCGTTTTTGATGCAAAACCTGGAGGAAATACTTCAGGGCCAGGATATCTCCTTGGTCTGGAGACGAGACGGGTTGAGTAGTCTACCGACGCAAGCCGACGAACGAGCCGCTGCCTATCGGAAGATGGCCTCGCTAAAGACCGGGGCTTTATTCCGACTCCTTGGACAGATAGTTTTAGAAAACAAGTCTGCGGATAAGACCTTGACCACTGTTGCGTATGTATCGCCTGCATCACTGAACTGTGTACCGTATGGTACTTCCGTAAGGTTGAGAAACAAGCTGATGTTTGGCTCAGATGGTGCTCCCAGCTGCAAAATGACTGCAAAAACGTCTATTCGTCAGACTACGCCAGGTCAAAGGGGTCTCTTGCGGAAGATCTGAGAAACAGGGAGCTGTCGTACCCGATCATCCTGGCTCTAGAAGCCCCGGGGGGTGAATGGGTGGCCAAAGCGTTGGAGTCTGGGTCTCCACGAAACATCCGAAAGGCACTGCGAGTGATCCAGAGCGGAAGTGTACGAGACGCATGCCTCGAAGAACTGAAAACATGCGGCGCGTCGGTGCAGGACTGGCTTTCAGTTTGGGGAAGGGATGAAAGGATGAATTTGAAAAGTTGAGGAACTTGGTCGACTTGGCCCTCTCTAGTCCTGCTAGGCTCTGACCGACCATGGAGTGATAATTGGACTCGTTTATAGACCGGATTAAGTTTCTTTAGATGATAAAAAGTGCGATTGAAGTTGATCATGATCATGTTGGATGGATAAGCAGTGTCTGCCTGGGGAAAGGGCGGGTGGCATTCATCTGTGAAACATGGGCACTCAGGAATCAGTAGGGCAATGTCAGATTTTTTAATTTTGAAAATTCATTTAGCATCAAAATGCTAAGATAGTGTTAAAAGCAAAGATAAAGAATTGATTTATCATGAGATCACTCGCGGCACATCAACCGCCATTCCCGAGGTCTTTCCCCTGGACTCCGCACACCTCGAATAATGACACTCGTGCCACCATCTCTCCAGTCTGGGGTCTCTGCGATCGTGGCGCAACGCCCACATGTCCTTCCCCTTGGTATCTTCCAGTTAAAGATCAGTTCAAGGATGTTCATATGCGGACATAAAAGAATAGGCTCCGGGCGCCTAGTAGGTATCCAAAATACCGAAGGTCCGCTAATGTCGGTGGATGATAGACTCAGATGTATATGATGGGCGGAATGTAGCTCTAGAGTGTCCCAATACCCGATTAATGCTGTGATTGCAATATTGACAGAGACTTCAGCATGGTCAGTTATTGAGCAGTGATGTTGAAGTGCAGGTTTGCTGTCATCAGATCTTATAGGCGTGAAGGCCTGTTGAAGTCGCTTGGACATCTTTTCATCAGCATTTCCAGTTCGTAACCACTGCTCTAGTAGCACTCCGTCATAGTAGGTTAATACTAGACAAGGGCACACGTCTAATACCCGTGCCTCATGTTGGCAAAGGCGGTGGTCGGGTCGATTGGCTTGCTCGTATTGAAAGAATAAATGTCGAGGATGGAGTTTTAAACATCCCGAGCAGTATAGCCATCTGTTATCCTCGATGCTAAAGAGAAACTGTTTTCGAAGATGTAGCCGTTGACCGAATGGAAGCTTGGGAGTCTTGCTGGTCCACTCTGTTGGTGAGGATAGTGTTTCATCTTGGAGGATATAACCGATAACTTCATATAGAGTCTTGCAGGTCAGTGCGAGGCAGGCCTGTGCCGGAAGCGGCAGTTGATCAAGTATTAGGAGTATAATCTCGGTAGGAAGGATGGCAAATGGACAAAGGGGCTTTCCTTTATCGAGCGCCGGCTTGTCTTCTAGCTTGAGTTTGATAATTGTAAGAACGGCGACTTGAAAGGCTTCTGTACCTTGGTGTCGTGCTTAGTCTCCGTTTTTGAAGGCGAAGCGGGTTTGGCGTAAGTAGCAAGATGCAAGAGCGAATCTGATTTCTCCATGATGCCGTTTGTAGGGAGTTCAGCACCTGAACAGTAAGAAACTTGGACCTAGTTACTCTTACTTGAGAGTTGACGGGAGTGAAATCAGGAATCAGTGAGTGACGAAGGATGACATGGGTTGATCATCATGACGGACTGGCGCACAAACCATGGGTCCACTACGGACATGAAAGAAATTTGAGCCAGGATCAACAAGTATTAGAGTCCGAATACCAAGTATTCAGTTATAGAATAAGAAATTAGTAGTTGCTAAGGTACTGCGTATGATGAATGCCTGGGATCTCAGGCACTCCACTTGAGCGCTCATATGCTTTTTCTAGACTGTCCAAGGACCTGCTCCCTGATATTTCCATGACGGGCCTACCTACTATTAGGCCAAGCCTAGAGCTGCTGAATAGTGGCATTTCCACGAAGACATCCAAGATATCTCTGCAAGATGTAACCGCTACCGCTGTCGATCTTCATTGCAAAAACCGAAGCCCCTGATATTTTTAGCATCTAGCAAAATGCAACGTCCCATCTTGGATGTTTTGCAGGTGCAGGGATGATACTGGCCGTGTAACAGATAACGGTTCAACGGTTGGGCGTCGGCAAGCGACTGCAGCGAAATGGCTTCATCTGCCCTCACACGACATACTCAATCCCCAGAGGCGATGAAGGCAGGATACAGTGCGTTCAGCCTACCTGGACCCATTCGTTGATTCCTACCCGGGTGCAGCGATTGAAGGCGTTGACTCGATGCACAAGACTAGGATCGGAGCAATCAGGGCCAAGTGACTCGGCAATAACGAGCCCTGCTACTATTGCAGACGCATCGTATCTCAACCACTCCAATTAGCGAAATGCCGATGGCAATTGCAATCTAGCCCAGACCAATCCTACTTGGCGTCGGGAAGAGACATTCCCGTGAAGGAAGAGATCCTTGAGGGACGATCTGCACTCACGAAGAAACTGACAGAGAAAAGCCACAGATCTAGAAACTTGAGCACAGACGCCGTGAAATTGCGATTCGTTATGTGTTACTTTCATCAACCCCCTCCAGGTGTCAATCTGCACTCTAGAGGGGACAGACTGGACAGTAGATGCATTTCCGCAAATCAGCTTGTGAGACAGAGACAAAATGCAAAGACACTAATGAATCCATCTTGCCCACTCTGACAGGGAAGATTCTTCAGGACCACCCCCTGAGAGGCAGAACAAACAGCTAATCTCGCGCCATGAGTTGAAGCTAACCACCCCAAACCACACGCCGCTGGAATCACAGCTTTTCAGATCCTCACTACTCTGCATTTACACTGAGGTCATCGAGCAACTTGCGGAATAGGAACTCTCACGAGTCATGGCCAGAACCGAGGTGATGGTGACTGCGTGTTAAGCCAGATTGATTGATCAATGGATGCACCAAGCACTCAACACCCTGGCCACGACTGCAGTCCAGACCCGAACGAGCTCTCCCATCTTGCCAAGCGACGACGCCCATAACAGGGACACCCGCAAGCGCAGTGGTGGGCACACGAATGGGAAATCTAACCGAATCCATGTAGGTTGCATCAGAGAGCCAATCCGACGAGGCATCGATCGCTCCCAGCCGGGGCTACTGCAGCCTGATCCTGAAGGTGGGGCCGTCTGTGCTGGAGAATCGGTGATTCGAGGTCGATGCTACAGTACATTCAACTTCCCGGAGTACTGACTGACTTGCTGCGAGAGCGTTGGTTTGCCTCGTACGGAGTGAATGCCATTGTCTATGCGCTGGTTTGTGTGATGCCCTGTTGCTGACCAGTCTAGTCCGTCTTGCCTCTTTCGGACTGTCGGAGAAACCGGAGCTGGGCTGACAACACGATGATCCGATTTGGCCTTTTCATTATTTTAAGAGACACATGCCCTGTCGTGACGCTGTCGTGAGCTCCGTATAGTTACTCAAGCCTGTTTCCTTCGTCTCGCCGTCACAATGAACTCGGGCAAGCTATACCTGATATCAGGTAGTCTAGGGGTTCTGTCCCATCTCACTATCTTCATCAAGGGCGAATGGGATACGCATGCGCCCGATCTGGCCCGTTGTTTTGTGTTCTGGCCGGTGGTGTTGTTCTCGCTTCTGACAGTTCTCGGATATGGCCATGCTGTACGGAAATCGGCTCTCGCGCTGCTGAGCTATGACGCCGGGATCTGGCTATCGATGATCATATATCGCTGGTTTTATCATCATCTGAGGCATTTTCCAGGACCTGCCTTGGCGCGAGTCAGCGCACTCTGGTCCCTGAGACGGGTAGCAAGAGATGCAAAATGGCATATCAATGTACAAGAACTTCATAAGCAATACGGAAACTTTGTTCGAATTAGTATGTCTGCTTCCACAAGCCTGTTCTCTCACTGATAGCTGATTCCTCCAGAGCCCAGAGAGATATCGATCAACGATGCGTCCGCGATCAAGGAAATATATGGCGTGGGTACCAGCTGCACCAAGGGTGTTTTCTATGACTTGAACTATCCGCACCGCTCGCTGCAGATGTGTCGCGACAAGGCGTTTCACTCTAGACGACGAAGAGTTTGGGACCACGGATTCAATTCTGGAGGTATATAAAACCAGCATTGCTACAAAAAGCATTGAATATACATGCTAATGAACTGAGCGCATTAGCTCTGACCGGTTACGAACCATTCATTCGCGAGCATTGCGACGATCTAATTGAGCGAATATCATCCCAGACGGGAGAGCCACTGTCGATCAACGATGTTATCGATGGGTTCGCCTGGGACGCCATGGGGATCTTGGCTTTCGGCAAATCATTTGGCATGGTGAAGGGTAACAGCCATCCGATGTTGGACGCGCTGAGAGCCGCGAAAAAGTCCGGTGCCTTTATCTTGACGGCGACTTGGATGCTCATTATGGCGCGGAACCTACCTGTGATCAACACTGCTGCAGCCAAATGGCTAGCGTGGTGTGCTGAAATGCTCGAAGAACGGCGAAAGGTATGTCATGGGATTCTGGTCGAAGCGATTTGTTCACCGTTGACCAAGATGGTAGATGGGCCTATCCAGGAAGGATCTATTCAGTTACCTTATAGCGGAACCGCCCTGGGGAACCGACAATTCTCTGAAAGTGACAGATGGTGACCTTGTTATCGAGTCCGAGCTTGCGATCGGAGCCGGAAGCCAAACGACCGCTTCGACTATAAACGCATTCCTCTTCCTCTTAGCAAAGCATCCGGAGACGTACCGCAAATTGCAAGAAGAGATAGACTCCGTTTTGCCACCGGACGCACCTTTGTCCCATTCGGCGCTCACAGGCCAACCATACTTAGACGGCTGTATCAACGAGGTCATGCGTCTGTATCCAGCAGTGACGAGTGGTGTGCCTCGAGAAACCGGTCCTAGGGGTTTGACCATCGATGGCGTTTTCATTCCCGCATACACGACGGTGTCCGTGCCGACGTACACGGTGCAGCGAGGTCAGACCTTCTTAACGAAGACCACCTCTATATTTCTTGCTAGAATTAAAGCTGACAGAGTAAACGGCCCTTGACAGACCCTCGAAACTACCAACACCCCGACGCATTCATCCCCGAGCGTTGGCTCGACAGGCCGGAGCTGGTCATCAGGAAAGAGGCCTTCATTCCATTTTCCACCGGCCCATATTCTTGCGCGGGAAAGAGCTTTGCGATGATGGAGATTCGGCTGGCGATTGCGACCATCGTGCGGAATTTCGAGTTCCGATTGCCCCCAGGGCTGGAGAAGGAATCCCTGGATACGCTCGATGGAACCGGCGTACAGGATTGTTTCATAATGGTGGTTCCATCGTATGATCTGATATTCACGAAGCGAAATCTGAGCTCGACCTCGGTATAGACAATGTTGTTATCGAGAGACTGGGATGGTTCGTATGAACAGAGGGTTTCCTGTCTTGTGTAACGGGAGAGCAAGTGAGATCGGATCCCATGCTCCCAACCACCGCGCAGAGTCTTTGTTGTAGCGTTGGACACACAGTATACCGGATGAGGTCGATCGTCGACCGGATGCGGTCAATGAAAACATGGTTGACGCTAGGCTTAACCAAGGAATACAGCACAATAGAAGAATTCCTGGATTTCATTATCGAATCTGATTCCTGCTTCACTTCCCCTTCTCTCGAGTACGGAGAATGGGCTGTGTGTTTGGGCGAGCCCGACCAGCGACTGCAAGATGTACGATCCAGCACGGGACTCGTGGGAGGCTCAGCGCGTCCCCGACAAACCCGCGGTATGTTTTCTCCGTTTCGTTCTTCTCTCTCCTCCCAGCCCCCGACAGAGTGACCTGAAGATTTGGGCCTTTCTTGTCGCTCATTTCAACTTCACTTGAATTGGGTTGAATCGATAAACTAACAAATTAATTAAGTCACAGCCACCTGACGATTTCCACTCTGCTACGAAACCTGTGACGCAAGAACAATCTTCACCTTCCGTCGCTCAGACCCATCCACCTGCGCAACGCCTTCCAGAAAGCGACCAGTCCGCAAAGAAAGAATCAAACCGAGACGAGAAGCCTTCTCACCCCAAACCCAAAATGACCGACCTCCCCTCCGCTTCGCCCGAGCGATCGGCTGCCTCTCCTCACCCCGAGAATGACTCCCCAGCCGACAAAAAGCGAAAGTTGACCGACGAGGAACAAAAGCCCGCCGGGGTTCCCGATCGTCCGATCTCCAAACGCAAGCGCATGGAGGAGCGACACCAGAAACTGCGCAAACGCGGTCGCACTCCCCCGTCGGCGTACTCTCGACGAGACGCGGAAGAGGCTGCCAGGGCGGCGCCGGCTCGACATGATCGATCCGTCTCGCCGCTGGCGCCTCGTCGATCTCCGACGCCGGAAGAGAAGCCTCGTCAGCGGAAGCGACCCGGTGGTGGTGCCCGCATGGGGCTGGTGGATCGGGAGACCCTCCGTCGGAGACAGGAAGAACGGGAACGGGCGCAGGAGGAGGATGCTGTCCGGAATTCGCAGACGCGGGGAGTCACCGACATCGTCCGACAGCACTACAACGCGGTGCCGCAGCGGGGTCGCGAGTGGCGAAAGACCGAGAGTAAGATCAAGGGACTGCGGACGTTCAACAACTGGATCAAAAGCACGCTGATCCAGAAGTTCTCGCCCGACGAGGAGTTCGTGGCCCGCTCGATCGGCACCAAAGACTGGGCCGAGGAGACGGCGCCGCCGCCTGTCGAGGAACGACGGCTCCTAGTGCTGGACCTGGGCTGCGGCAAGGGCGGCGATCTGGGCAAATGGCAGCTCGCGCCGCAGACGGTCGATCTGTACGTTGGGCTGGATCCCGCCGAGATCTCGACGGTGCAGGCGCGCGAGCGATACAACCAGATGCGATCGGGACGCGGTCCGCGCGGCCCCCGTCGCGGTCCCCTCTTCCACGCCGAGTTCGTCCCCAAGGACTGCTTCGGCGAGTGGCTGGGCGACATCCCTATCGTGCAACAGGTCGGAATCGACCCCAATGCCGGACCGGGCGGATCAGCCATGGCTGCGCGCTGGAGCGGCGGGGGCGGGTTCGACGTGGTGGCGTCCATGTTCGCGATCCACTACGCCTTTGAAAGCGAGGAGAAAGCGCGACAGATGCTGCGGAACGTGGCCGGGTCGCTGAGAAAGGGCGGTCGGTTCCTCGGCGTGTGCCCGAACTCGGACATCATCAGCGCCCAGGTGGCCGCGTTCAACGCGAAGAAGAAAGAGCGGGAGGCCGCCAGCAAGAAAGAGCAAGCTGAGCCGGAGGACGGCGAGGTCGAGGAGGAGGCGAAGGTGGAATGGGGGAATTCTATCTACCGCGTGCGATTCCCGGGCGAGACCCCGGAGGATGGCGTCTTCCGACCTCCTTTCGGATGGAGATATAGCTATTTCATGCAGGAAGCGGTGGAGGAGATTCCGGAGTATGTGGTTCCATGGGAAGCATTCCGAGCGTACGTATCCCCTTTTGTTATTTGGAGTTCGTGCACTGACTTGGTTAGACTGACGGAGGATTACAATCTGGAACTCCAATATCGCAAACCCTTCATGGAGGTCTGGCGCGACGAGAAGGACGACGCGGAGCTGGGACCGCTGAGCGAGCGCATGGGAGTTCGTGACCGCAGTACGGGGGAGCTTCTCATGACGGAGGAAGAGAAGGAAGCAGCTAGTAAGTTGAGGCGTTGGTTACATGGGATGAAATTGCTAACAGGATGATAGGTTTCTATCACGCATTTTGCTTCTACAAGGTGTAGTGATTGGCTGCATATTTACAACATTCCTTGCTGTTATTTCATACTTTCTGATGTATTATTGATTCTTGCTTCTCGGGCTTCATGTAGACTACTTAGGGAATTGATTCTACTTTTTGACACTGTTAAGCTGAGCTTTGTTGTAAAAGGCAGATTCAGCTGAGTATCATGGGTGCATGGCTATGCTGTCTGGGACAAGAAAAAATTAGCTGATATGGCGTCCTCTTGAACTAATCGGGTACTCGTTAGAGACTCTAGTCATATCTAATGCTAGGCATACTATGTCTGGAAATTAAGGCAAGAAGTAGACGTTAGTCGAGAGCAGTTGACTGGGTACATAAAGTACCCACCCATCTACGCCGTACCTCAGCTAGCGCGATTCATCCTATTCTTGCCATTCACATTCAACCTCAATTCATCTGAACGACCTTCTTTCTTGGCCCCTCTACCCTTTCTTTGATTTTCTAACACCGTATTCACATTGTGATTTCTTTCTCGAAGAGTTAAACCCAACCAAAGCAACGAACTAGCTTGGTGCTAACCAACCAGCGGCATCTCGCCAAAGAAACGCGAAAAGTCGCGAAACAAAGAACGCATCCACGCACCTTACCTACCAAATCTATCCATCCATTTTCCCACACAAAATTCAACTTCAACATCAACTCCAACATCAACCTCAACCTCAAACCTCCAAAATAAGACACAGAAAAATGTCTACACCACGCAGCACCCCCCGCGATCGAGACCGCACCCGACACCTCGACCACCGCAACAGCAACAACAACACCCAAACCGAACCCCCCTTGCCCCTCTACGAGCCCTCCCTCGCGCCGCTCACGACAACAGGGCACAACGCGGTCCTGGCGCTCTTGAAATCGCAGTCTTTAAGACATCTGAAAACGCATCTACAGCATGCGGGTGTCAAGTTGACGGATTCAGCTGGGGAGGTGAATGAACGGGTTACCGATGCGAAGGGACGGTTTGAGAAGATGAAGGAGAGGGGGGTTAGGTTGAGGGCTGCGAGGGAAGGTCAACAGGGTCAGGGTCAAAATGGGGAGAGTCAGGATGGAGAGGGGAATGAGGGTGAGGGCGAGGGTGGGAATGAGGAAGGGGGAGACGAAGGGGAAGCGGAAGAGGAGGAACGGAATCGGTTGAGCAGTCTTGAGGAGAGGGTTGCTGGGATTACGGGGCGGTTGGAGGAGCAGGTACGGAAGATGGTGGATGCGGAGGCGAGGGTGGATGCGTTGGTCGAGGTGATGGGGGAGTTTGAGAGGGAGGCGGATGAGGCGAGTGTTGCTCGTCCTGGGAGGCAGACGAGGAGGAGAACGAGAAGAAATAGACGGGATGGGGACGAGGAAGGGGAGGATGATGAAGATGAAGAAGATGAGGATTATGAGGCGACGTCGGAGAGAGAAGACGATGATGCTGAAGCCGCCGCTGTTGCACCTCCTAGTCGACGACTCGAAGAGAGTCTGAAGGAGAACTATGCGCAGTGGGATCGACTATCACTTACCCAGCGGTATGCATCCCCAATCCCCATTCTTGACACAAATTCTGGTATAGGACAAAACTGACCGCAGACCAGCTACTCCGCCAACAACACCTACGTCGGCTTCTACCGCATCGTCCACGAAGCCAAACACCCCGGCAACGACATCCCCCCAGTCCCCCACGCCTCAACATGGTTCTCGCATCTCGAAGACCCCAACGCCGCCTCTTCCTCCTCCACCCCCTCCACCAACCCAACCCCCACCACGCGCCAACAACGCCAACGCCAACAACAACAGCGCAGCCCTTCCCCCGCCTCCGACGAAGACATCGCGATCGAGAGCGAACGGATATCCCTAAAATGTCCCCTCACGCTGCTCACCTTCCGCGACCCCGTCACGAGCACAAAATGCCCCCACAGCTTCGAACACGACGCCATCCACGACATGATCTCGCAGTCGCCGACCACCGTGCCCGCACCACCCCCAGCGCCTGGAACCGCGCCGTCCCGCGCCGCGCGTCGTGTCCGCTCTGTGAAATGTCCTGTTTGTTCGGTCGTCTTGACGGGACAGGATCTGCGACGGGATGCGGTGTTGCTGAGACGCGTGAAGCGTGCGGAGGCGCGCGAGCGGGAAAGAGAAGATGAGGATGAGGATGAATCTGGGTCTTTGGGTGGGAGAAAACGGGCGAGGGGGGTGGGGATCGAGGTGGCGAGTGATGATGATAATGATGAGGATGAAGAAGACGAAGATGAAGACGAGGAAGATGATGAAGGTCCTCAGCAGAGGAAGAGGAGACGACAAGAACAGGTGCGGATCAAGCAGGAGAGGGCGATGTCGAGTAGTGCGCCGATGATGGTTGATTAAATTACATTTAGAGGTGATTGGCAAGTAACTATTGTTCTGTTTCTTTTGGTCTCTATGATTATCTCGTTTCTGGCTGTCTTTATTTAGTTGTCTTGCATGAGCCAGAATTTCTATGACATGATATCTGGTCGGTCACATGTACCTACCTCTACTGTTTATGATGAGCATAGCATGTTCAATCGATTCCCTATGCACAGATGTCTACACTGCAAGAATGAGAGATCATGCATTATTAACGCCGGACTCTGACCAACCCACGTACTACCCAACACCCTCGGAGGGCTCGTATCGGGTATCAAGGCTTCATGGAAAACAGAAAGTAAATACACGAAACAACAACCCAGACAGACAGTCAAGGAGTGACCAGGCAGAAAGAAATGGATATAAGGAAATGGAAACTGCTCCGGGTATGAAATAAAAAAGAGACCCACACGCGAAAACACATACTGATTGACTCGCACAAGAAGCGAACAGAAAAGGAACAGAAGCATTGACATTGGTCAGACCAGCCGAAAGGAATATCAAGAACTTGCATGCGAATCAAAACAGACAAAGGAAAAGAAAAGGGGGTATCCGTCCGCCTGCCGACAGCATAAAAAAGAAATTTTTGGGATGATTGCAGCCGGAAAATGCGCCTGCGAGCAAGACACATGGATGAGGGTGTTGCGATGCTGGCTGCTCATGCTGAACAGATCGGGCGAGGACATCTAATCAACGGTGCATTGAATCTACGCACTAGAGCAGAAACGATTTTTCATCTGTCGGTCGCGTCATCACGCAACGTTATAGCACCGAGCATTCAATCGGGACGATGCGTCGAAAAAGACAGACTATTTGGTGATGAGGTTCAGATAATCGGCGACGATAAGCGTAACCATGCTAAAGTGGATCCCGCGGGGTTAGTGTTAGGGACAAGCCGCCCAGAAACCAAGAGTGGGGAGACTAACGCATGGGGTGCGATCCGCACGTAGTACGTGCCGAATCCACGATAGAACCGCAACCATCCCTCCTCCTTGACCACCTTGCGCGCGCAGTTAAAGAGACCCTTGTACGGCAGCTGGCCGGTCTTAGGGTCCTTCTGCTGCTTCTGCAGACGCGTCTTGATGAAGTCGAAGGGCAGCGAGAGGAAACTGGCGAAGAAGCCAGCGATGGCGGAGGCGGCGAACGTCTGGTTCTGCGCGGAGAGGCTGGTGCGCGCCTTCAGCTGGGCTTTCGACTCCGCGAAGAAGGTCAGCTGGCCCACATTGAGAGCCATGGCGCGCACCACGGTGGGGAAGGCCCCCGACCACAGGGCCAGGACGCCTTCGCTTTTCGAAATGCGCAGCAGCGCGTCGACAACGGAGCGGTAATTGGCGCGGGCCTCCGGGGGTTTGAGACCGTCCGACTGCATACGCACCAGAGCCAGGTCTGCCGGATTCCCGATCATGGCGGCGACACCACCGGCCGTCAGACCGGCGCCGGCGCGCTCGGCGAATGTGACTTGACGGTTGGCGGCTTCGGCGTTCTTGTTGAGGGTCTTGATGAAGGTGTCGAAGAAGCCAAGACGGGCGGTTGTGTAGACGGCCTGACGCAGCAGACCCGCGGACAGGCCGGTGTAGAGATCGAGAACCTTGCCGGAAGCGATGATATCGCGAGCGACGCCAAGCGCAGATGGACGAGGGCCGGAGCGAACACCCTCGCCGGCTAATTGTAGACGCACCTTGATCATGTCGATGGGCTGGATGACTGCAGTGGCAGTCATGCCGGCCAGGCCACCATTGACAAAGGGCAGAGCAGCTCGGGTGTACGGATGGTGTAGAAAGTCGACCTGCGGCTTCGAATCCGGGGTGGTGGCGACTGTAGTGGATGCCATTATCACGACAAAGCTAGACGCAAATCTAGCCTACAAGGGAGAGTCAGTATGGCTGAATTGATCTGGGAGACCAGATCGAAGACAGTGCGGAGAAAGGATGGGCAGGAAGAAGAAGAGAGGGAGAACAGACGAGGAAGAGAGGGGAAGAGAGCGAGGAAAGCGAGTGGGGAAGGAGACACGACGACGACTGACCAGGGATTGTAGGACAAAAGACGAGACGAGCAAGTAACGGCACGAAACAAAATGCCCGACAGATGACGTATCAAACGAGAGAGATCAACGCGACGACGAAAGGGAAAAAAAGAGCCCAAGCGGACGAGGCGCAGGCAAAGAGGGGAAGACGAGAAAAAGCAGGAAGCAGCGATGAGGGGAAGGGAAGGCGATCAATCGGCAGAGTTGAAGCACGAAGAAAGACAAGTTGAAGGTACAACACTCCCAGTCAGATGACACCGGGGATTTCGTCATGCAACCACGGTCAGGACGCTTGGGATACGACGTTGAAAGGATCGGAGTCCGAAGGACTTTTATACTTCCTTCCGGCTATACTACGAAGACACATCGTTGCCAGGAACCGACCCGTCACCCGAGAAAGTATCAGGACTCCAGATGAAAATTGTAGCGAAGTTCGCTGGAATGAGGGATCCACAGGAGCAGTTGATGCTGACTACGACGGACTACTGCACGATGCGGTGGATATTGCGGGGGAAGCTTGACGGTTGAGTCTTGAGTCTTGACTCGGTCAGCTTTCAGCAGTTTGATTTCACGACGCAATCATCCGTCGATAAACATTCTTTGTCTTTGTCCTCGACGTGTGAATAGTAACAGAAAGATCCAGACCCCAGAGACATACTGAACTGGTCCTTGTCGAGTCTTTGTCCCCCGCCAAAAAAGTGACGGCGGGGCAGTCAGTTCTGCGCTAACCCCTTTAGGTCCTGCACGAGAACGGGCCGGCGAGTCTTCCCTATTATTAAATCATCCAATAATGGATGCCCCATTACTTCGCGATCTAGACTCTCCTCTCTATACATGTCAACAACACTCAACAGCACTCTATACACAGAGACACAACCACTCCAATCACCACTCTTATATCTATCTGCTACCTATATAATCATGAGCAATCAACCTGATTGCCCAGATCTATCCCATCTCTAACAAACCAACTATCAACAACCACCTACAACCTAGGTAGCAGTAATATCCTCTCTCCATTCCTCCGACCCAATCGCCGAAATCGGCACTTCCAAGTATAGATCTGGCAGAGCATCCTACCCAATCCACCTGGATCGTGTCGCCCGTCATCCCAATCGATCCCGGACCTCTCGACCCGGAGAACACTCCTCCGGACTCATCGTCACGGAGATGACTTCTGCCTTGATGGTCTTGTATACTATAGACTAGTGCGGTCAGGTGATTATCTCTTCTATTTACGGGGTAAGGTATCTATCTATTACCTAGACACCATGACTTACATACACCGTACTACGTGGATATCATGGTAGGTAGCAGCTACATATAAGACCAAAGTAGTATACAGTGGTATTGCTAATAGGGAGAGTGGATTCCCATCAAACCCGGAATCATCATCCGGCAAACAAACAAGAAAAAAGGAAATAAATAGAGTAAGTAAAACAAAGAGAGAAAAAAAAAAAAAGAGACAGTCAAACACCTCCCAGACGGAATCAATCCCTGTCCTCCCCCCACGGCAAGGACCCTCGGAATCAAGGAGCTGAAGGCTAGCTGGCTGGGCCGACGGGACTTGGGTCGGGTGTCGGGATAGCGGTTCGGATGTGGAGAGCGGGAACGTCGGTAGCTTAGCCGGGATTACTTCTTCCTTGGATTACAGTACAAGTAGTTCCTCCGTATGTTGAGTGCTTGCTTACTTATCTTCTAGGAACTAGGAATTTTATCCTGGGTTAGTCTACTCGCTAAGGGGTGCTGATGATGTTAACGCAAGCCAATGATCAATCCAGAAGAAGATATGAGGAAATAGTAAGCCGGAAGCACGCATTGTGCATACCTACCTATAGTACGGAGTTACTTCGTAGATTGTAGTAACGATAGGAGGCGGAATAACTCCCACCCCTTGCCGAATCGCAGGGCCGGAACCCCCCCTAGTCTAGGGAGATTAGATAACACTTAGCCCAAACCGTATAGACTGCATGGACAGATAGCCCCATAACCAGCTAGCCAGCTAGCCAGGTAATCAGTCAGATACGAACTAACCGGAGTCCGGATTTCCTGAACACATTGAAAGAGCCGATTCTCGCTGGTTACGGCTACTGGGACTGGAGATTGATTCATGATTACCTCATTACTGCTTGTGGTCTACTCCGTGCTAACTAGCTGTGACTGGCTATGACTATGCCTATTTGGGTATGTTTCTCAGCAGGCTGTGGGTTCCCGATGTGTTGAGTGTTTAGTGTTAAGTAATGGTAAATAAAAATTGGTTGGTTGGGTTAGGCCTTCGTTATTCTATAGAGGGTCTGGTGGTTCTCAGGTAGTGTTTGTTGTAAATGGCAGTGTCGGAGGAATTCAAGTCCTAGGTAGTGGATCGGAAGAGGAAGCGCGGTGTGGGACATGTCCGGCCGTCCCAACACTTTCTATTTCGGAGTTGTTCAATTCATCATGGGCTTTGGGAATGCTACATAAGTCCGTAGAAGTTCTCTTTATTTGGTTGAGGTTCGAAGTATGTCCCCCCAACAATGTGTTGGGTTCGCAGGCGAGGAAAACCCAAGTTGGAACGGTCATATGCAAACAATGCTTTCCAGATCAAGGTAAGTTGGCTAGGGTCTACATTACAAGACAAGGAATGATATAACTTCAAATCAATTTTTATTCACAGGTATATGCCATGGTCCATTCGGACTCATAACTCCTATCGACCGAGACCAATTAGATCCAACCAAGAGAAATTCTGAACATCAAAAGAAAAGGTATGATATCCCTGCATCAGAATGCCAGGGAACAGAGTACAGGAACAGAAGGCAAGTAAAAACCAAAGATTCAAAATCAAGCATGCCATGCAATTTATGAACAGAAAGGAAATCCCAAAACCCAGATCATCATCTATTGAGGCACCGGACCGGCGGCAATCACCTCCTTGGTAGCTTGATCCGAGTACTTGGTGAAGTTCTCGTTGAACAGACCCGCCAGCTTGTTGACCTCGTCCTTGAAGCTAGTGGACGCGGTCCAGCTGTTCTTGGGATTCAGCAGCTCCGAAGGCACGCCGGGGCAGCTCGTGGGCACGTGCAGGTTGAAGACATCGTAGGTCTCGTATTGCGCGTTGGCCAGCTCGCCGCTGTGGATGGCGTCCAGAATGGCACGGGTGTACTTAAGAGGGCAACGCTTGCCGCCGGTCGTGGCGCCAGCGCCAACCCATCCGGTGTTGAGCAGCCAGGCGTTGGCCTTGTGCTGCGAGATCTTGTCGGCAAGCATGCGGGCGTAGCGCATGGGGTGCAGCGCCAAGAAGGGCTGGGCGAAGCAGGACGAGAAGGTGGCCTGGGGCTCGGTCACACCGTCCTCGGTACCGGCCATCTTGGAGGTGTATCCCGAGATGAAGTGGAACATGGTCTGCTCAGTGGTGAGCTTGGAGATGGGGGGGAGCACACCACGGGCGTCGCAGGTGAGGAGGATGATGTTCTGGGGGTGCTTGTCGGAGATACAGGGGATCTTGGCGTTCTCGATGTATTCAATGGGGTAGGCGCTGAAGAGTCTGTTAGATTGGTTTCCTTTTGACAGATTCACGAGGGTACTTACCAGCGAGTGTTCTCAGTGAGGGTCGAGTCGTCGTAGTTGACCATACGGCTGATGGGGTCGAAGACGACGTTCTCAAGGACGGATCCGAAGCGGATAGCGTTGTAGATATCGGGCTCCTTCTCGGCGGAGAGACCAATGCACTTGGCGTAGCACTGTGGAAATCAGTAACTGTGTTGCGATTATTGGTTTGAGGTCAAAAACTTACGCCACCCTCGATGTTGAAGACACCAGTGTCGGTCCAGCAGTGCTCATCGTCACCGATCAGAGCACGGTTGGGGTCGGCAGACAGAGTGGTCTTGCCGGTTCCCGACAGACCGAAGAAAACGGTAACGTCGCCGTTCTTGCCTTCGTTGGCCGACGAGTGAAGGGTGAGAACGTTGTGCTTGACGGGCATCTCGTAGAAGAGGACGGTGAAGACACCCTTCTTCATCTCTCCGGCGTACTCGGTACCCAGAATAACCATCTCCTTCTCGGCAAAGTTAATAGCGACCGAGGTAGCAGAGGTCATACCCTCGGTGAAGCGGTTGGCGGGGAAAGATCCGGCATTGTAGATCACGTAGTCGGGGTGGAAGTGCTGCAGCTCCTCCGCCGAGGGGCGGATGAGCATGTTGCGCATGAAGAGAGCATGGTAGGCGCGGGCGCAGACAACACGGACGCTGATGCGGTATCTCTCGTCCCAGCCAGCGAAACCATCGATGACATAGATACGGTTGCGGGTGTTGAGGTAGTCGACGGCACGCTCACGGTTGATCCGCCAGACCTAAAGGGGGAAAAGTCGATTAGCTAACCAGCCCTATGCAGGTGACGTCACACGTGACACCACGACCCAAGGCAGGCAACGCAAGGGATCCAAGGATTCCAATGTGGCACAAGACCAGCAATCCGGCGTTGCACCGCAGTCAATACAGGAAAATACCTCATCAGTTGAATATGAGGCATTTCCGGGGGATTGCGGTTGCAGCTGCAAGTCCAGAAAGCTTGGTCTTGGTGACACGCGAAGGCCAAGAAGGGGAAAAGTGGGCCAAATGCAAGGGATGAACAATGCATTTATCGCTCCACTGGAATAGTAGGAAACAGGGAAGAGAACGTACATCAGGAGTCATGGGCTTGTTAACGGGACCCCACCAGACGTCGTTCTCTGACGATTCCTCCTTGACAACACGCTTGTCTGAGGGAGAACGACCCGTCTTAGCACCAGAGTATGCCGTCAAGGCACCACTCGATGTGATAGCAGTACCGGTCTCGTAGACCAGAGCATCTTCGTAGAGGGCAGCAACCGAGGGGTTGGCAATCTAGGAGCCGTTAGTATGAGCTTGGTCTGTAGAGATGACAAGGAAGCTTACAATAGCGACACGCTCGTAGTCAATGTGGGCGTGTTCGTGAAGCTCTTCCTCAAGCTCGGTGTGACCCTTGCCCGGCCTAGTAAGTGAAGAAGGTTAGTCAAAGTGTAGAAGGGCAGCGAGGTCAAGAGTATGATAGGAGGGAATCGAAGAGAAGTAAAAAAAGGAAAGGAAGGAAACATACTGAACACCACCAGGGTGCAGGGCAGTACGGTTAACAGAAGTGGCAACCATGTTTCTTAGCGAAGTAGAATGATAGTTATTGTTTCGTTGTTTTGCTACTTGCTGTTGGAAGAAATCTGAGTAGATAGGACCTGATTCCGGGGGGGCATTGGGGGGTATATGAATGTTCTCAACAGGGGCCATGATCACGACGGCCGCGGTCGAAAAGACGTTTCGATCTCCAATTCCCGATGTATCTTCTCCACAGTTTCACGGAAGATGTCGGGGCAGAGGACCGGAGCTGAGGCGGAAGGGGGTACGGTAAACTGGGCCAAAATGATGTCTCTCGCGCTCGTCCGAAAAGTTCCGAACCCCAGATGTGGGCACGAATTGGTTCCGGGAACGCTAGTCGGCCACGCACCAACTAGAGCGTAAGAATCGGAAGAATGATTGATCGAGCTTCTTTTTCGTCGCAAATGATTAACACGCGTCGGGGCAGGGAAAGAAAATCGCGAAGAAATGGCTCATGCAGGTCAGGAATTTTAGTGGGAATGAGGGACTAGACTTGTGTTTTACCTTTCTTGATCGTGTTTCTTTGGCCGAAAGAAATGCCGTGGCTCCCCAAGAATCAGCTGCAAACGACCTGTCTTTATGAACTTTCTGACATGGTTTGCAACATTACACCATGCCCAAAGACTATTATTCATCTACGCAACGACTCGTCCATCTTTCCAGCGAGAAAGGCGGACAAATGGAACAAAGCGAGCGAGGAGGTCATGGTGATGACGTTTAATGATCTCAGAGAACCTTGCCTGGCCGGGTCTGAATGCTAAGAACCAAAATTGCGGGGAGAGGGTGATATTTTTCGGCTAGAGGGCCCAGCGACCATACCCGGTCAGGGAGGCTTAGAGCAGCCACATGGACTAGATTCTCTTGTTCATCAGGTAGCTAAGGGACAGCCAATGACGACATGCGCCGCAACGAAAATCCCCTCCGGCGCTAGTCCCGTCCAGGCAGTCTGTTAGTCATCCGCCACCCGAGGCCAACCGGCGCGCGGCCAATCACGGGCGGCATCCCGTGCTGATTTGCAATCCAACGTCACCGCGCTGGCTGAATGTATTGCCGTCAGAATCTGTATGATGATGTGGTGGTGATGCGCTTTCTCTTAGTCTTGGGCCTGGTCGTGTCCCGGCTGCGTGACGACGTGGAGCTGCAGGTGACAAGACAGCTCCCGAGCTGCCTACCCGTTCGGGCCATTCTGAAGTCTTCCAACTCGACTTGTATACAATCTACAACGTCCAGTACGGAGTACGTTTAACTTCCCCAGGCAAACCGCTCGACACGCACATGACAAGAATCTCCAAATTTGCCGAATTGCCACATGTATTTACTATCCCCTAGCCTACTGTACATTCTCGCCAACGGTCAGGCGCCAGCCCCTGACAAGGCCCTCCGTCAGGTCAACTGATAGCATGCACGTTCTCAGCCAAGCACGACAGGTGCAGGATGCGATTCCTATCCCGGCCAATCGTGGCGCAGTCGTCGAGGAGGATACAGAGCTGAACAGGTCTTATCACTAGTCCTCCTGCCTACTGGACGGTATCGTTCCTCTGTACCCCGCATCCGACTAGACGCCGGGGCCACGCGGGCCTTTCCCCAGATTAATACTAGCATTCTTGGTCTGGATGGACTTGGCTAGGGGTCGGAGCTGCCAGGATGAACACTATTGCCTCACGCGACTCAAGCGCTTCGTATCTACAGGCTGTTGGACCTACACGTAGTACATGGAAGATGTCCTCCGTATCTGTACTGTACCAAAATCAAATCGATCACGAACACATCGACACAAACCACCAGATCCACAAATCGGGGAAGATAGGAGCATCCGAGGGGGGATAAGGCTGGATCACATTTTGCGTGCTTGACTGGTTGGCCCGGCGGTTGTGGGGACGCTTAGGGTTCCTCGTCCGGGTGATTTAGGAAGACTGGAGAGGGCAGGAGGGCAGGAATTGAAGAAAAAACTTGCTCCATCACCATCCCAGGGCCACTGTTAATTAAAATCCCGCAGATGTGCTACGCTAGTGCATGGTCTAGACAATGCATGAGGGGCAGAAAATGAAGAGAACAAAAGTGAAGAGAATGGACAGGAGGTGTTTACTGCGCCCACGAGGCACTTTGGATAGATACTATTCTGTAGATACAGACAAGAATAGACCATGAACGTGGCTGATTTCTTGCCACTGAATTCTATAATTACCCCAATTTGTAACTAATTGGAGCTGGCCAGAATGCAGAATGAGACATCCAGGTACATTCCATCAGATCCATCAACGCGAAAATCAAACATTCGCCTGAAACACCTCCGTCGATACCCACTTAACGGACTCCGGCCTCGAATCCCTTGCCTAGTCCCTCCTTCGTGCTTTTTTATTCTCCGCAGCCACTGTGACTTGCAAACGATAACATCCTGTCAATTATATCCAGCAATGATATCTCTGGGATTTCTCGGGATGACCGACCTGTGCAACGAGAAGGTCATCCCGACCAAGTCTTTCCGACGGCCAGGATGGTGGCCCAAGTAAACCCGAGGGAAAAACATGGACCACTTCCGAAAATTAAATAATCGAAAATCCTCGGACGCAAATGCCCCTTTGCCAGTGGAGACGAAAACACACCTGAACCAATGTTCTTGTCGCCATTAACTAGGCAGGCCAATTGTTCGCTTTTCGTCCGACAGGGGTCTGCGGGATAAACACAACCCGAAGTATGTCATTCTCTATTATTATTATCTAGCCTCGGGCAAGCACTCAGGCGCTTTCCGTTCTTTTTTTTATTTTTTTTTATTTTTTCCAAGGACAACGGAAGAAAAAACAAAAGTCGTTGAAATGACCGATCGCATCCGATAATTCCCTCGTCATGTATCAGCAACCTGCATATACCTATTTGTCTGTGCCCAAAAAACGGTCGAGGCCATCTCGAATTGCGACGAACACGTGCGCCTGTTCGAGGCAGATGCTTGGCCTCTTGGGTCTGACACAAGAGGCATGGCATGGGACGAACAGGGATATCTCCAGCAGGGATCAATCTGGATACAGGTATCATATCTCCACATCATCTCGAGCGACTATCCGTGCAAAGGAGAAATAACGAGAAACACGAAAAACAATACGCGATATTTAGATAACTCAACCGACATGCGAATGATGCTCTCTTGAAGCTATGAAATGCGCTCGAAGCTCCGCTTTGGGGTGTGAATGTGAAAAACATCCTGCGTGTTTCTGTTCTTAGTTTCTCGATATTACGGTTGGGAAATCTAATGCGACAAATGATAGACTGACCATCAGTCTTGGAACTGGGCATATAATGCGACCGAAATGAGCTAATTCTGCAAACAGGTCATACAATGGGCTGGATCTTCTATTGTCTGCAACACACTTCTAGAGGCTTTAGATTTTCACAAAATTTTTGCGAATCTCATTTCTCAAGGGAGAGAAACTTGCTAATTCAGTAACAAACGAGCAATTGGATGTGGAAGACTACTAATGTACATGGAATTTACTTACATAGACATCTTGATAGGGTTTGCGACATGGAAATCCAGGAACGGTACTATTTTTGACTATGCGGGCAGCTCTTACGAGGCCCTTTCCCATACATCATGTAGTGAAACTTTTTATAGCTGGCAACTAGCCCGTTTGCACCAGGGCATAGTTGATTGTCGGGTTCTTTCGTTTCGTCTCGTCTCGTCCCATGGTGCCCAAGGCCCTTTCGATTGGGTTATCTTCTTGCCGGAGTGTATACCTCTTCCCCTCCCATTTGAAGGTGCGATTGATTCCTTTCTCAACGAGCAAGTGAATCAAATCCACGTCCTCCAGCTCAGCAGCCATGAACAATATCGGAGGCAACTTCTTTCCCTTGGAACCCCGAGGCAGCGATTTGGTCGTGATATCAGCACTATACTCCACCAGGACAGCAGCCGTTTCGGCATCTTCCTTCTCCAACGCTCTTTGCAGGGGCGTTTTGGTCATCCCCGGATAGGATTTTCTGGGATCAACCCCCTGCCCTAGCAGCATTTTCACCATCAGTGGCCTCTTCGTTGTCGGTTTGCATTTGCACACCGCTGAGAAGAGCGCCCCTTTCGGGAACTCGGCGGTAGCGATATTCGGATCAAAGCCTTCGCGCCCCAGCAGCCGCTGCACAGTATCCTGGTGGCCGTTCTCAACAGCTTCGACGAGGGCGTTGTACACCAGATCCTGCTCGAAATTCCCATACTCGTCCACGAGAAACTCCACCATGTCAGTCTTTCCGGCTCGGGCCATCGCGCGAATGGCAACATCCATGCGTAGCCTTGCATTACTGCTAGACCGGTATTTCATATGTTCTATCCACACCTCTAAGGCTTCGATATTGTTGTATCGTGCCGCAAGAGAAAGCACGTCTGTTACATGACCGTCGTAGGTAAACGTCATTGGACTGTTGCGCTTAAGCACCTCATTTATCTCTGCATTGCCGATTCTTACCCCCAGCTCGAGCACCATCACCCCCCATTGACTGCTGTACATCGCGCGACCTAACCCTTCTCGGATCAGGTATTCGAGTTCCCGCGCATCTCCATCCTGAATCGCGCCGCACGCCAGTAGAACCTCGCATGTTTGATCGATGAACTGCCGTGACCGTCCCCCCTTGCTCCCCGGCACCAGTCGTTCGTAGCCGCAATTCATCCTGAGCCTCAGCGATTCCGGACAGATTATGCCATGAGGCCTGAGCGAGCTGGCAGCGACACCGTTAATCAATCTCTCCGCCAAAGCCTCTTTCTCGTGCGTGGTGGTCACCCCTCGCTTCTGCACTTGGTTGTATAGCATTTGCGTAAAAACGCCGCAAAAATGAAAGCATCCGCGGTGCCTTTCTTCTTCATGTCGGTGCAGCTTCTGGCGTAGAATTCGGACCTTCAATCGATGGGGAAATGCCTCCCACCCGGGCACATCCTGTTTGTTGTTGGGACTGTGCTCCCGGTGCTGTAGGTTACCGCGCTTGTCTTTATAACATCCGAAGCCGTCGGTCTCCAACCGAGAGCTCCTAGACAGGAAGGACATTATCTCAGTTTCGAAAAGGCCTGCTACTCGTTAGACGCTCTTTCCTTTTGTACCATATTGTTATCAGGAAATAATTCAAACTGACTATTTACAAGACGGGCCCGGAAGAGGTCCTTGATGGGCAGTGTCTCCATCATGTCCCGTAGGATCTGATAGAGAATTTCCAGTGGAACGCGCATTGTCAATGACTGCAGGAGGGTTGTCGAATTGCAGGGAATTGGGGGCTTTTTGTATGATTTTTCTTTTTTTTTTTTTTTTTTCTAGATTCCCTTTCCTTTTTTACAGGGGCCTATGACTCAACGCCTAAGCCTCCATTTTCGCCCCAGCATGGCAAGTCGAGAACATTCGCATGAACCATATCTTCTATCAAAGTTATATTTCTTTGGGGGTCATAGACGAACAGTCTAGCTGTCCTTGCTTTCCTATATCTCCGCCACAGTCTGGCTAAGGCAGTCAGTCATGTCATATCTTAACTTTATCTAATCGCTTACCATGAATGCAGTTCATACTGTATGTCTACCATCATATCATATACAGTCATGACAGAAGATCAATTAATTGTTAAAATCGAGAGAATCGAATACAAAGTTATCCAGACGAAGTCCTTATCTACAAGGCAGACAAGTCGGTCACAAGCGCAGATCCTCAGGCAGCAATGAAAGCGGGGCACGACAGCGCAAGGCGGGGTCAGCGGACTGCGAGAAGTGCAATCACACACCAACAATTTCTAATTCTCTTCTTCTTCTTCTTTTCTTTTGATCACTATTCACTCCCTGGTTTCACTTCATATTTGACCTTTTCCAGTAAGCTGACAGAATATCATCCTCCGAACCATCAAAACATATCTAACCGTTCACCTCCATAGACAACACCACCAACCCCACCAAAACAAACAAAATGTCCGGCCACACTGCTTGCCCCTCCTGCAGCGCCCCCATCCCCGGGGAGACCAAGACCTGCGGTTCTTGCGGAAAGGTACATATCCTGTCCTGGTGGAAGGTGATATTTGTCGGAAACAAAGCGCTAACGGGATTAGACTTGCCCTGTTTAAATCCACCAGCGGAGACATGATTCGGGATGATCGGTGGATGGGAGTTGGAGTTTAGATCGGTCGGTGGGGGTGGTCTTATTTATGGAATACTGGGTTTGAGTACCGGGGATGGTTGATTCTATCGCATTATGTGTCGATGATAATGAAGAAATTCACGAGATATCCATTTTCTTGAATTGGAGGTTTGTAGGATTGGAATATGGCTTAGTACGACTTTCATGGTATATACGTCTTTAGAAGGCGGTGTTCCTCGTACTAATGTCTCAAGTATACCTGACATTATGTGACCTGGTGTGAATGAATCAACGACTGGAGGCCGGTGCCTTAATCTCGAGGCAACAGAATACACTGATGGTCCAAGCGCCATACTAATAGCTATCCCCGACGGCTCTCGCCCAGCAAGACCACGTTAAAATAGCCAAGCAGAAAGGAGGACATGAGAACGGGAAACTCGAGGCGAGCGGAGAATCCTTAAACCAAAAGATGTATGGCGCCACTAATCTATACCTCAGCCGGTGAGATGATCTGCCGGGGATTACGGAGGTATTGGTGAGATGATGAGGTGAGACGTTCATGTGGGGAAGCATAAGCATATCCTAACCCATTGATAGGAACCCAGTCGGAATTGAGTCTGACTGCAGTGCTTTATTTAAGAGACTGCTGGGACCCTCCCCTCCCCTCACAGAGAATAAACGTCTTGCTACCCGCACATCCTCACCATGTCTCGCTTTCCAGCCATTCCTCCCGAGGAACGCACCGAGGCGCATGATAAGCTCGAAAATGGGCTTGCAGAGGTCTTCTCGAAAGGGCCATCCCAGATTGAATGGAAGGGCTCCTCCGGAACGATCCTGGGTCCGTACTCGCCTCTCCTGTAGGTTAAGACATCTCCACTGCAGATCACGATAATCTCATGCAATTAATCCAGATACACGCCGGAAATAGCAGAACCGTGGTTCAACCTCGCCCTGACCGTAACCCGACAACAGCGACTCACGATGCGCGAGAAAGAACTCGCCGTCCTGGCAGTTCTCGCGGAATATGACGCGCCATACGTGCTGTACACACACTCTCAAGTGGCGATTGCAGTGGGGCTGTCCCAGGAGCAGGTGCAGCAGGCCGTCGATGGCGAGGCACCCAATGGTCTGAGCGAGTCCGAGGCAGAGGTATATAGCTTCGCGTTGGAGCTGGCACGGTTGCGAGGACCTATGGATAGTGCAGTTTTCGACAATGCGAAGAGTGCACTCAGTCGTGATCGAATGGTGGGCTTGGCTCATATTGTTAGTGGCTTCATTTACACTTCCATGCTGTGTAATGTCTCGGACGGCGAGGTTCCTGCTCCTGCTGAAGGTGCGTTTGTTGCGAAGTCAAGGCATCGGAAGTAGGCAGTAGAGGTCAGAGCGGGTCTAGTCTATATACATGCACAACCACACTCTCTTATCAGACTGCAGATTGATGTAACCGCAATATACAGTCAAGTACTATTGGTTTTCTAGGGAATATCGAGGAGCTACTATGCATTACTTGATTTGGATTGGGAATCAGTGCGATGTACGTTGGGGACTCTTCTTATTCCATCACCATTGAAGAGCTAAACAGAACCTCTACCTAGACCTAAACTGTCTGTCTGTACCCAGGTGCTTGAGAAATTATTCATCATCAGCAAACGTTCGCCTTGTTCACCACCGATTGCAACTCATCGACCTCCTCCGATCCAACTCTGATCATCGCTTCCCTGCTTTACAGGATCCACGTCAGGACGCTACCCTGCACCGTCAACGCCCTATGGCTTCTCAGATCTCCCAGCCTCTGATGTTGGACTCTCCTCGCAGGCCGGATTCGTGGTGACTCAGGTTAAGGCCGCACCGCAGCAGTTGTTGCAGGTTGTGGCATTCATCGGCATTGTCGGTGGTATCGCGATGACTGTACCGTGTGCTTCGCAGTAGGCGATTTTCGAGATGCGAGGCTTCTTCTTCACTACCTACTCTGTCGGCGAGAAGCATTTGCGGATACCGGCTCTCGGAAGCCGTCAGCAAAAGTGTTGCCGCGGCAGGATTTTCGTCAATCTTAGCGATGTTCATGAAACGAGAGGAATCGTTTGTTTGGAGACGCCGGGGAGGAAAAGCCGGGGACATGGTGGGCTAGGGCTAGAGCCGTGACTTCTTACCCATTGGTAGATCCTCGAGGCATTAAAGAACCTGGGTTATTATTCTTAGAAACGGTAGTGTTGGGCGACGTTGAACCCTGTATCCTACCTTTTCAATCTATTCTGTATCTATAACAAGACATCAGGCTACGGAGGCGCTCAGCCGGCTAGCCAGGCCGAGCCCAACAGGAGCTAGGTATTTTGGTTCTCTGTTTCTTTTGTGTTGGCTAAATAGTCACTGGGATATGCACTAGAATAAGCCCATACTAAGTAAGGATTGACCCTTTTTAGTGCAGTGGCAAAATTCAACAGATTCTTTGTTGTATCGCCTCGGGATCCTGCGGACACCCACCTTTCGGCAGTGGGTGGTCAACACCGGTCAGGCATTTTCAGCAGAAAGGCAGATTCTTTATATTAATTTATATTTAGCTATGACTATCTACAATAATTATCTGAACATATACAAAAATAATTTTAATATAAAATAGAACACTGCTGAAAGGCGGTGGGTGGTCCGCAGGATCTCGGAGGACTTTCTAGTCCCCAACAAGCCCTAAATGTATATCGATCGTGATTGGCGATATCAACTCCCTTCAGCCTCGATTTCTCGTTAGCTAACAAAGACACGTAGGCGCTATGGTTTCCAGTAGAATGACTTGACTGGGGTGAGAGTTTGTACTTTGTACTCTTCTCAGGATGGCGAGGGATATAAAGGTGGTCACCACTCTTCGCTGGGTTGAGGACTAACTATATACTCTACAATCAAACTGAGATATCCTCGAGACAAGGCCGGAAAACACCAATATTGCGAGTACTTCGTTTGTTTCTCAATTCCTCCTTCATTAACGAACCATCCACCATGATCACCAACACCCAACTCGACGGCATCGCTCTCGTTGTCGGCGTCAGTACCCTCCCCCAAGCCCCACAGCTCCCCTTTCCCACCTACTCCCAGACCCTCATCCCTATACATACCCAAGGCTACCGTCACAGAACACTAACATTCTATATAAACAGTCCGGCCGAGGCATCGGCCAACAAGCCGCCTTCTCGCTCGCCGAAGCCGGCGCAAAAGTTGTCGTATTCGCCGACATCAACGAAGAAACGGCCAAAGAGTCCGCCGAGGAAAGCAAGAAATACGCCTCGAACAAGGACTACACGGCCACGACGTTCACGGTGAATGTGTCTGACCCGAAAGGCGTGCAGGAGATGGTTGACTTCGTGGTTGAGAAATTTGGTCGCTTGGATTATTGTGTTAATGGGGCTGGGGTTGGTTTCCTCCTTAACTTCCTCCCTACTCTGAGGATTTATATCCTATCTGCCATGAGCTAATTGTTTGTTACGGATAGATCGACAACGGCGTCCACGCGCCCATCGCAGAAACCGACATCGACAATTTCGACCGCATCATGAATATCAACGCCAAGGGGATGATGCTCTGTGTCCGCGCGCAATGCGCCGCCATGCGCAAGCAGACCCCGCGACAGATCCAGGGACGTAACGGTACGCGCGATATCGGCCGCGGCGCGATTGTGAACATCGCGTCTGCGAACTCCTTCGCTGGCCTGCCCAGGAAGGGGTCCTATACTGTGTCGAAGCATGCGGTTATGGGGTTGACAAAGATGGCTGGTATGTTTTTTCTTGGTTTCTTTCATCCGGGGCTTGGCTTTACTCTTCTCAGTCTTCTGTTTCTATAATGCTTGTAAAGAAAACAAAAAGACCAAATTATTAACACCAGCTATGAGAATATAGGCCTCGATCACGCCGCCGAAGGAATCCGCTGCAACGCCGTCTGTCCGACCTGGGTCCGCACGCCCCTGCTAGACGTCGAACTGAAGAGTAACCCCGAAGTAGTGGGCATGATCTCGGCGATTGTGCCGATCAAGCGCGCCGCGGAGAGCGATGAGGTGTCGGACACGATTGCTTTCCTAGTGAGTCCGGCGGCGAGCTATATCAATGGGGCGAGTATTCTGATTGATGCGGCGGTGACGACGACGGTGAGGCTTTTCTGATCGGGTCTGACTTATGTTGGTTTCCGGATTCGGTCTGGTTGGTTGGTGGTTTGGACTATAAGTCAGGTTGGTTCGTTCTGGGATGGGTAGGAAGGGACGCCGGGACCAGGATTGATGAAGTATTGGATATGCCTGCAGACAGTGGCAATGATAATGAAGGGCAGATGAAAATCGACTCCAGGGAAGAGATGATTGCAGGTGAGCCGAGGCGTCTCTCGTAAATAGACCGGAGGACTACACTTTGAACATAATCTGACCGGTGACTCGCCCTGGGAGGCAGTAGACGTAGGGATCATGCAAAGTAAAGGGTCAGTATTATCGGAGCCAACGACAGTGACGACATACTCTAAACGAAGAGTGTAGTATGAATTACCAACGGGCGACAAAGGCAGCCATGTAGAAGTCAAGTGTAACTAAACATGTACCATTCCCATGATTATCGTGAATATATTCATAGAAAGAAAAAATAGAAACGATTATACCGCCAAACTATCCTAAATGGAAGGCACGCCAAATCAGAGCAAATCCCTGAGCCATACCGTCTTTTGACTCATTCTTTCCGAGCCTTTCATCTCGACTTTACTCCACGAGGTTATCGGCCATCTTGTCATTTGACCAAATAACCCATGTAATATACAAACCGGCATAAATCATCAATCCAATCATCCAATGTCGGTCTTACCCCTACGCCGTTCCGTTTATGCGGTCTTCTTCCACTGCGACACCGCGCCGATCAAACTGCTGATCGTACCGGCGATACCGACAAGGCCGTCGTCGAGCGCGACCAATCCCAGGGTGGAGGCAGGGATGGCCAAGTCGCAAATGTCCGAGATGAGCTGGGTGCGAGCAGTCGAGCGCTCCCTATTCATTTCGTTAGCACGCTATAACCTTCACCATTACACCAAAACACGAGGCAGGGAACCTACTTCTCCAACTTCTTCGCCTCCACAACACCCTCACCCTCCTTGCGGTCAATAGTCTTCGACTTCTCCTGCAGTCTCCAGATAGTGTAGACGCTGGCGATCGCGCTGCAGACCAACCCGGCCAGCCAGGACCGGTAGGCGTTCTCCTGCAACCGCTTGGCGGCAGCCAGCTTGCGGATGCCAATCACGTCGATGACCTGGATGCTGTCCAGGGTCAAGTAACCGGCGTATCCGAGCTGGCGACCGACGGCCAGGTAGCGGAGGACGGGGTCGACGGGGCCCTTGTTGTCCAGGGCGACGGCGGCCGCCTTGAGATGTTCGATGAACTTGCCGATACGCAGGATCTTGCGCGTCGTGCCGAACTGCTTCTTCACGGCATTGTAGGGGTCGATGGAGGACTGGGGGCGGTTGGTGCGGTACAGGTACCAGGCGTAGAAACGCGAAAAGTACTGTAGGGTGCGGAGGATCTTGTCACGGCCAACTGCATTTTCACGGGTTGGTTAGTCTCTTGTCGTACGGTATGAGGTGGGTGCTGAGGTCGGTTGGTTTTCCGTTGGGTTTATTTTGTTGGGCGGAAGACAATCGGCCGAGTAACCATGCCTTCTGCTTGAATCCTGCGCTCTCCGACGCGAAAACAAGCAAAAACGGGGGGAAAGGACACCACGCACCGGTCGTCGCGACAAAGCGCAAGTAGTGTGCCAAGGCAGGGTGGTAGACCAGAGTATCGGCGACCATATTGGGCGATTAGAGATCTTTTGTTCGAGAGAGGTTCGTGATTTCAGTCGGGCAGGGTCCGGGAGCTAAATTCCGCGGGGAAGGTGGACGAGGCGAGGAGTGACGATGAGACGGTAGGATTATATGACAGGCCAGCTGGCAAGTACCGAGGAGCAGACGGCCTCCGACAGATGGTGATAATTGAAAGTTGATGTATAGATGGAGATAAGGAAGGGGATGGGGAGAGAAAAGACGGGGGTGGAGAGGGAGCGGGAGATGAATGGAAGGTCGGTAATTGATGACCCGTCGGCGATCGCTTTTCGTGACCTGCGAACCTCGGTTGCTCTGCTTCCGGGAATTTGGCCCGTGGACTGCCGTTATAGTACGGCGTATATTCTACATGCACTGACTATTACTAGTATTCTAGTTCAATCAAGCAAAAGATACTGCGAACTCCCAACTAAAATGAAGCAAGTCGGGACCTCGTCCGAGTGACTGGCTCCCCCATCGGAGTTCTCTCGGACATCTCGGGAATTGCACGGTTCAAGATAAGCAGCCATATCTTTCCAAAGAATGGATCCCTGGTCTCTCCTCTACTGAGTATCTTTTACTCTCTACTACTCACGGGCAGGCGGAATGAGCTGCCTCTTTGGGACAGCACTTCCCTCAGGCCGCAACTTGTTTGCTCTGTTTGACTGGAATCATGTGACACAGGGCTTTCACATGCCAAACACGTGAAAGGCCGTCAACTCGTTTGAATCAGGATACATCAACATTAACATTAACATCACAGACATGATAAAATTCCCAAGAACCCTCATGATGGTTCAGATCCAGGACGCCGCGTCTGTGTATTCTACCAATCATCTCGCTTCCGGGCATTAGTTCGTGTCGCTTGGGGTCCCCGTCCTTGGTGTGGACTACTACTAAAATCATATCGAGGCAAATCTCTCATTCTCGCTGTCGCTTCTGGAACTTCGGGGTTGACGTCGGGTAGATGTCGCAAGGGTTGTCCGCAATGGCCGCAAGGGGGAAAGTAACCGGTCTTGTCGCATGGAATCATCGCAGGTAAAAGTCGCAAGGGGGCTGGTTTTGGCGCTGTATGGGCGGGATAGTTGAAGGGAATGACAACACAGGCGCAGCATAGAGAGATCGGCAACTAAAGGTTGCGGTCGCGAAATCCCTCTATTGCTGCTCTCTGTTGCCCAGTGTTGTGGTGTCGTATCCATTGGCTTCGAGGAAGGCTCGGAATTTTGCGTCTTCCTCGCCGATGGTTTCCTAGGCCGTGTCAATTTGGGACAGTCTCTCACTGGGACTGGACCGATGACCGATGAATGAGACGCCAAGGGCAAAGAGACTCTGCACATACCTGCGTGATCTGGGGTAGAAGGAAGAATGCCAGCGCCGCACTGAAAATGCACAACGCGCTCGACACAAAAAACGGATCCTGGCCGGAGCGAATCTCGTTGGGGGCGTTATTCTGGACAATGGGCATCACGTACGTGCCCACAAAAGCACCGATCTTACCCGCCGCAGCCGCGATTGCATAGTACTGTCCTCGGATAGCCGTCGCGCTGGTCTTTGCAGCACACAGTCCAATGTTGTCACCTGGTCCGAACTCACCGAGGGCTGAGAAAATACTAGACTCGAGACTTAGAGACGTATATACTCGACTCGACGGAGAAACTTACCCGAATACTACAACAAATGCCGCAACATTCTCCGGAGTAGCAAGATACTTATAGCAGCCGGACATGATGAACCCGATGATACCTTGCAGGCCGACACCAAGAGCCAAAGTATTGCGAGGCCCGATCCAGTCACTCGCCAATGCGCCCAGGAAAGAACCGGGGATATAAAAGGCGTTGGTAACCGTGGTCCAACCGAAAGATTTCCACAACGGAGCACTATCCCCCAGGATAATCGCAATCCACTTCGAAGAGTAGATGTTGAAAGAATAAGCCGAGAAGTCGTAGATAAACCAGATGAGCGAGACAACAGTCTATGGCAGTTAGTAGGTTGAAAAGACAGAAATCAAGGGCAATCGCACCAGGCGCTTCCAGTAGAATCTGGAACATATGTTAGTCAACAGTTGTTCCAAGGCGACCGACGACTACTCACTTGACAATCAACCAAATGGGAAACTTATGCATGCGCTCCTTGTCAAACTGCTCAGGCTCGTTCAACTTCAATCGCAGATAGAACAAACTCAAGGGCGGAATCACACCCAGCCCTAGAGCTATACGCCAGACCGCACGTAGATGGTCTTCCGAGAAGATTAGCACTAAAATCATGGCCACCAGAGCAGACACGACGTAGGCAAAATCAATCTGAAAGTTGCTGAACATGATGAACCACCGATTCCGATGACCGCTCTTCAGTTCGTTTGTATTCTCGGCAGCAGCCACGGAGCCGGCAGGATACTCGCCGCCGATTCCAATACCCAGAAAGAATCGATAGGCTGTCAGAGCGGCAAACATGCCGTAAGTGCTACCATGAAGCCCGTAGGAGCCCGCACACAAAGCACCGAATAGGATCAGAATAATTGTGGAGATCATCAGGGACCATTTGCGCGACCAGTGATCGCTAAGGTATCCGAACACCAGCTGCCCAAGCACTGTTCCCGCGAAAGTGATGGCGGCGACATTCTGACTAGCCGGGGAGTTTTTGTAGGTATCGGGGTAGATCTGGCCGAGGATGGTGTTGACTGGTCCGATGACCTTGATCTCAAGTTAGCCGCAAGGACTCAAACTAGAGAAGAAAGCGAACATACTCCATTGAGATAACCATCAGAAAAGAGACCGGCACCACAAGCGATGGTAGGCCAACTGCGCTCCCAGCGACCCTTTTGCATTTGCTCCTGTCCAGATTCCAAGGGTACCGCGTCGAATGACTCGGGGCCTTTTTCAGGAGACATTTCGGCGACCTTGTGTTCTGTTTTGGGGTCCATAATGCGACGTGATTTCTGAGTTACCTGGTGATACCTTGTAAAGGTGGGGTTTGACTTTGGGTAAAGGAAAGCTCGCTCGCTTCAACTAGGTAAACACAGAAATACGAAGAAACGCAGAATATGAAAAGGGGACGCAAGGGGCAGAAAAGTTTTAAATAAAGAAAAGAGAGAAAGAGAGAGAATCGGAGCGGGACAACCTTGACCAGGCCGATGGTGGAAATCCTTCGAAGACAAACCGGATTGCAGGTGACTCTCCGAGTACGGTTCGAGCATAGTGCCATCCGAGGGGGTCGTTAAGTTGCATTTCCTTACAGTATTATCTCTGCCTGCCAGAGACAACCCACGCTAAGCTTTGCCGGGGCCCTCGTTATTGGCCCAACCGATGCTTGAGCTGGGATGACCCTCTCCGGCCCCCAAGTCATGGTTCACCCTGGAAGGAACAGGTTCACCGGTCCAGCTGGATGTCCAGACAGCGTTGACCCCTTTTGCACGTGGTGGGCATGTCGAACTCATTCCATCACTTGAGAATGATGTCGCATGCCCCGTCAACATGGACAAGTCTTGGATTTCCAGATCAACTGCAGATGACGACCCGCCGTCCGTGGCTGATTGGCGCAAAGCACTCCGTAGGGCGTCTGGCGGTCCCGCTGGGTTTCCGCCTAAGGCTTAGCATCCACCTCGGCTGGGAGACAAAGTAGGGAGGGAAGGCACTTCGTGTAGATTCATCTTCGCATCAGGCCTACCATTACGGAGTAAATTGATTGTCATATCCAACATGGCCGAGCGAGTATATGGCACCAGTGTGTTAAATATGTTCCGAGGAATGGAAATGCAGGTGGCACATCAATGCACCGCAAATGACAAGGAAATATATTTCCATAGAATGCGGTGGAAATTGTTCGATTGAAGTAATGATAAAACGTGTGATTCTGGCTATGTAGTGCTGTGGTCTCTGACGGGGTGATGACACGGGGCTATAAGAGTAACCATTGACTGTACTAGCTATTGATGATGAATGAGCAATTTCAATTGAGACGACAATGAGATGAAGAGAAGATGCTTGTGATGTTTGCGGTATTGGGAAAGCAAGGCGTCCGTCAGGTCATGTGACCGTGCACTCGGAACGGACAAACGTTCGGCCAGCTGAGCTCGGGTCAGCTACGTAGGTTGATTACTTGGTAATGTGATGGATCCTGCCTCATCAACATCCAACCCTTTTGCAACCTCCACCCTACCACTCCATCGCTCGCATCCTACCCATCTCCTCTTTCGACTCCTACCTACCGCATCGCATCCTCGTCGCCAGCATGGGGTCCGATCCGCAGTACATAAAGCACCCTGACCTCGTCCTCGCCCAACATGTCTTCAATCTGTCCAACCCGGCGTGCCCCCAGACGGTGCAGCAGGCATCGCTGAAGAAGGTCCAGAGCGTCATCTCCGAGAACAAGATGGCCCCGTTCTATCGACACCTCGCACACCCCGTCGAAGGCATCCTGAACCATACCGGCGAAGGCGTCCCTCAGCACCAGGGCGGCTCCGCCAAGACCTTGATTACGTCGAAACTGCTGGCGTCTCGGAAGTCGCCGCAGAAGATCGATTTCCCCTGGGATGAGGCTTTATATCAGTCGCTAGTCGAGGACAACCGGAAGGAGTTGGAGACCTTCCAGAAGGAGGAAGACGAGGCGGAGGAGGCGGCCGGCGAGACAGAGGTTCTGGCCGCGAGGGGGAAACGTGCTGAGTTCTGGGCGAAGGTGGGCGACAAGGTGAGTGTTCTGAACGACCCGTCGCTCAAATCTACCCGCAGTAATCTAATTGGCATCACGCTTGTATAGGACAAAGCTATCGAATCCCACGAGGCCCTTCTGGAAAAGACGACATTTTTGGGAACGAAGATCGACCTGGTGATGGCGATGATCCGGATCGGATTGTTCTTCGGCGACTCTCTGTTTGTCAAGAAGAGCATCGAGCGGGCGGAAACCCTGGTCGAGAGCGGCGGTGACTGGGACCGAAGGAATCGTCTGAAGGCCTACAAGGGATTGCACCTGCTTACCATCCGTTCCTACAGCCTGGCTGCCCCTCTTCTTCTCGACAGTCTGTCTACTTTCACGAGCTACGAACTGTGCAGCTATTCCGCCCTAGTCATCTACTCCGTCCTCGCGGGATCGCTATCGCTGAAGCGAGTCGACTTCAAGGCCAAGGTCGTGGACGCGCCAGAGATCAGGGCTATCCTGGGATCCGGGGAAGACCGGCTCGCCGCCCTGACCGGCGAGGTGTCTTCCGGACCTAGCGCCGCAGATGAGGATATGAAGGATGCATCCACTGCTAGCAGCACGCCGGGTGCCGCTACGACCGCCGTCAACCTGACCACTTTCGCCACGGGTTCTGGCATCCAGGCCGAGGCTGAGACCCCGGTGGATTTCACGCCCCTCGCCAACCTGGTCAACAGCCTGTACAACGGCAACTACCGCACATTCTTCGTCGCCTTGGCGGCCGTGGAAGACAACTTCCTGACCCAAGATCGGTACCTGCACGAACACCGTGCGTGGTTTGTCCGTGAGATGCGACTGCGCGCCTACCAGCAGCTGCTTCAGAGCTACCGGGTTGTGGGACTGACCAGCATGGCCAACGACTTCGGCGTGACGGTAGACTTCTTGGACCGGTGGGTTTAGTAGCTCCAAAATGTGTTGATCTACAATGACTGATCTAAATTTATAGGGACCTGGCCAAGTTCATCGCCAGCAACCGCATCGCCTGCACCATCGACCGGGTCAACGGCATCATCGAGACGAACCGACCAGACGACAAGAACAAGCAGTATGCCGACGTGGTCAAACACGGTGACGCTCTGATCACGAAGCTCCAGAAGTACGGTCAAGCCGTGCGCCTGAGGGGAAGCGAGCGGAGCTAGAGAGACGGACAAGACATGAGCGATATGAATTGAGACGGGTGCTCCCTCACTCCGGCTCTCTGGAGCCGTGACGGATGAAGCCTAGGGTTATTTATTTGTTCCTTGTGATCGTTACTAGAGCAAAAAAGCAAGTGAGGCTGCTGTATCATACAATTAATGACAGAAGACAACATGACCTCGATTCGCCTGATCGGATGCGATTGGATTTGACCGTAGAGTGGGCCGATGCCAAGCGTCCGAGCATCTTGCATCTTCCATCTGGGATCCACGCGATCTGAGGGATTATTCATAGAGTCGTATTGGTGGTGGAACCATGTTCTTTAGGAGCTGGTAGAGAGTTGATCTTTACCTAAGATCTCGTATCCGGGCCCAGGAGCCATAGACTGGAGGAGAGCAAACAGCACTGCAGGAGTCGCGGGGAGAGAGCCGACGTCGGGCGGCGCCGGAAGCCTCTTCGTGGGGAAGAAAGCGGAGGCGTTCGCTGAGTTTGGCGTGGCCTGGTTCGGGGTGCCACGAAGGCCGCCAGCGTTTCTGTAGTACTTGGATGAGTGAAAGGAGGCAACTAAAGCATCAGCATTGATTTTGAGAGGATCATCAAGTAACGCTCCATCTTAAATGATCTACCAGGTATGTAGTATGTATGTATCTTTCAGATAGTTAGTCCTTATCGCATCTGATAGCGATGACTCAGCGCGGGATTCACCGCCCGCCCAAAGGGAAATCGTGTGTTTTCCGTCTTCACCTCTTTTTTTCCCTCTTTTCTCTTTTTTTTTAGTTTTCGATTCTGTGTGAAGGCAATTCCAATTATCTCCTTGCGTCCTTCTCTTCCTGTGGCTACCAGATTTCTCATTGCCAATTCCCCCTGAATCACCCCACGTCTGGCCACAAACCCCCTCCTGAAAAGGTGGAGAAAGGAAGGAAATCGCGCAAGTAATTGGCTGTCTCGACCAACTCCCAGGGGCATCATAAGGAAGCGACAAGATGAGCTGGCAGTATAAGCTCGCCGCGCACATGCGGGCCTCGCCGCTGCGATGCTCGATTTCCCGGCCGAATGGCGCTGGCCTGATGCGCCGTCAGCACATCCCGCGGGCCTTCTGCTCGTTTCCCGCCGGGGCTTCTAGTTCCAAGTCCCTTTCAGGTACGTCAAGTCACCCTGCTTTTAGTCGCGTTTCGGGAAATCGCCCGGTTGGGTCCCGATCGCCTGCCAGCGTTGCACCATTGGATGTCCGTTTAATGCCGCTGCGCTTTCTCGGCCGTCAGACGCCCACGCCATTCCCCTCTCTCTCGTGACATCCCTCGGGCCCGTTCCCGCATCCTGTCTCTTACCCACTCGAGAGGGGGGAGATGACTCCGTCACTCCAGTACAAAACGTGGCGGTCCCTCCGAATGAACCGCCGGTTTCAATCTCGAAAGATTCACATATACTAACCAATCTCTCTTCCTCCGACTACAGTCCCCACCATGTCGGCCCAGACGACCGTCTCCTACACCACCAAGCGGACTTTGTGTGCTCAGGCTACTCGCTGTCTGAACCCCGATAACATCAACCCCCACGTTAAGGAAGCCAAGTATGCCGTTCGTGGTGAGCTTGCCGTCAAGGCGGAGGAATACCGGGTGAAGCTGGCCCAAGGAGACAAGTCGTTGCCCTTCGACAGCGTTATCTTCGCCAACATCGGCAACCCGCAACAACTCGACCAAAAGCCCATCACCTTCTTCCGTCAAGTGCTCAGTCTGCTCGAGAACCCCCTGCTGCTGAACAACCCCGAGGCCCTCCGTACATCCTTCGGATACGAACAAGACGTCATCGACCGCGCTAAGGTCCTTCTTGCCGACGTGCAGAGCGTGGGAGCGTACAGTCACAGCCAAGGTGCTCCGGTCATCCGGAACAGTGTCGCCAAATTTATCGAGGAGCGTGATGGATTCCCTGCCAACCCCTCGGACCTTTTCCTCTGCGCCGGTGCCTCGTCGGGTGTCAACACCATTCTCAACGTCATCTGCAACGGACCCCAGGCCGGTGTTCTCGTTCCCATCCCTCAATACCCTCTCTACACCGCCACTCTTTCCCTTCTCAATGCGCAATGCGTTCCCTACC